GGACTTGAACAGAAGGAGATGGTACCTGGGTACTACCAAGATTCTTCATGTGCAATGGTGGGACAATAAATAAAGTCCCAGTACTTCTCTACCCTTCATTCTAAATCTCCAACAATAAATCACTATACTCCATATGGGCTCGCACATTTTGTAACATGCCTTTAAGCAAATTGTTTAAGTAGACAGGGGCCATGCAGAAAGAATTGCCTGAGGCCTTACACGTCCGAGGACTGCCCTGGCTGCTGTCCTCTTCCTCCGGCTGTAGTCCCATTGAGCTCCTCTGAGCTCATCCTCCATTCTTTTTTTCTTTTAAATCCTTACCCAAGGACAAGCTTATTGATTTTAGAGAGAGGGTAAGGGAGGGACAAAGAGAGGGAGCGAATCGTCAATTGGTTGTTTCTTGTAGGCGCCCCGGCCGGGGACTAAACCCGCAACCCAGACATGTGCCCTGACTGGGAATCAAACTCATGACCCATCATTTAGATTTCCGACATCCAAAAAAGTAGCCACCAGCCACATGTTGGCTTCTGAGCATTTGAAACACAGTTAGTCTAAATTGAGATGTGCTATAAGCATAAAATGTACACTAGATTTCAGAGACTTCATTTGGGGAAAAAAATGTAAAATATCTCATTAAAATGTTTTATATTGATTATGTGATGAAATGACAAGTTTTCTGATGTAGCAGATTAAATATATTACTAAAATGTACTCCTCTGCTTTTTCTCTTTCATGTGGCTACTAGGAAAATTTTAAATTGCGTATGTAGGTTGCATTGTTTCCATCGCACCGTGCTGTCTAGGCTGAGGCTGCCCCTCTTTGTTCAGAGATGTATGCCTAGCTTAGAGCAAGACCCGCCCAGCACTTAGCAACTGTCCTAACTTGGATGTGAATTAATAGAACTTATGATCTATGTACTTGTCAGCACAGTGCCTAACAAATATTTTTTGAGTGGACAAATGAACCTCCATTCTTCCAGCTCTCTGTTCCCCTAGCTTCATCCTGCTACGTAACTCTCACCTGCTTCACCAGGGCGCCTGGTACCAGGCGCCAATTTTCCAATAGGATCGTGACTCTTCTTGGCCCTGATCCTGGTTCTTGGGCCACCTCAGTAAAGCTCTGCAAAGGATTCCTCAAGCTCAGAAGACCTAGGATGACTCCTGTTTTAGATACAACAATAATAAGGGTTCCTTGATATCTTGGTGTCAGCTGAAACAGGCCTACTGTCTCTACGTGTCAGGTTCACAAGTTCAATCTGTAAGTCTGCTGATCTAGATAGGGAATATTTTAGGAAGGCTGGATAATAGGAACTAACTTGAAGCAGATGGAGGGAATAGTAAAATACCCTAATTTCCAGTTTTCTAGTACAAACAAGCATCTGACAGCCTGGTATGCTCATGCTATTTATGAAATCAGCCTGCAACATTTCTCACTACTTAATACTGCAGGAAATGGAAAACCTGCTGAGCCACTCATTAGAAATGAGACAGGTCTCTTCATTTCTCTGAGCCTTGGTTTCCTCGTTTATAAAATGGAGGATAATTAAATCTATCTCTCACTGGGTTATTGTGAAGATTAAATGAAGTAATTAAATATAAGGGCTTACTTAGGGTACAGTGCATGGTATTTGATAAAAGTTCAATCAATGGTAAAGATGCTTAACACCAGCCCCAATGGGATGTCTGCAAATTAGCAAAGGAAAAAATATTCACAGTGTCACGTTAACAGATGAGCCTGTCGTAATGACATTTTGTATTTGTTCTTCATTTTAACTATCAGCTAGCTAGACATCCTCATCAAATAAAAATAGCTGACATTTACTGAATACTCAGTATGAAGTAGGTACTATGTTGTGCATTTAATACACACCTTTTTAAAAAAGATTTTATTTATTTATTTATGTTTTAGAGAGGAGAAGGGCAAAAGAGGGAAACACTGATGTGCGAGAGAAACATCAATTGGTTGCCTCTCACACACCTCCAACCAGGGACCTGGCTTGCAACCCAGGCATGTGCCCCAATGAGAATCAACCAACCCCTCGGTCTGTGTTACGACGCCCAACCCACTAAGCCACACCAGTCAGGGCTTCGTGTGCATAATTTTATTTAATCCTTACTCTTTTGAGTAGCTGCAATTCTAATGGTCAAATTGCAGAGACAGAAATTGAGGTTCAAAGAGGCAAAAGAACGTGCTCCAGGCCCCATAGCAGTTAAGGACAACATCACAATTCTACAGGCTCTTAATGATTTCACTGGGCTGCTTCCCAATGCTGGCGGAGTTAGGCATCCCAGTGACATGGCAGATGTAGTCATGGAGACAGAGGCCTTGGTGAGCTATTCCTGGTGCAGACCATCAAGGCCACCACTGGCTTCATTTGTCAATCTTAATGGCTGATTGAGTTCCTTGCTTATGTAAGTGACTATGCTGGTAACACCCTTTATGCTGTTATGAGCAGAGACTCATTCAGATCCCTCTAGTAATGGCACAACAGTGGTGAATGTAAGGTTTCTTAGAAGAAAAGAAATACAGGAATTTTTGTCATGTGGCCACACCTTATAAAAATTCAAGGAAAACGGACCCCCCAGGCCTTGTGGCAAGTCCGAGTGCTGCTCATAACCAGGGCTATGGAGCACTAATATAGTTTGGAAATTGGAATACCATCCTCCCCTCTAATGGAGAGTTCTAGAAATCACCCACAACAGAAGCTCGATGCTCTGGACTCTGATGCTAGAGGGACTCAAATTCTGTCTCTTTCTGTGTTTGTTCCTGCTACCTATCCCTCAAGCTCTTGACATACTCATAACGCCCCGAGAGGAAAACCTACTTAGCTTGGTTATCGCTGCTCCTGCCCTAGACCAGGTGATGGGTTAGGCCTGCCCTTGGTAAATGGGCTTCTCCAGCTGTGGAGGGGGAGAGGAGGGAAAGTGAGGGCACAGCAGAGCTGACAGGCATGGAACCTGACCTCAAGACATGCACAGCCTGGTCTGACTAGGTAATCCCAACTTGACAGGCTGCCACCCTCGTCACATGGCAGATGTCCATAACCAGGTGCAGCACTGTGGTGGCCTCAGAGGCCTCTTGAGCCCTCCCTTCACACCACCACTCAGTTCCCTGGGTCTGGTATCCCGGAGGAAAGCCTCCTACCTCCCCAGGACCATGATGTGACTAAGGCCGCACAGGCTGCTGGGAACACCCAGGGATGAGAATCCCTCACTTTACTCAGATCCCACCTCCCAGGTGAGGCCTTCCTTGTCTATTCAGCTCAAAATGTCGCTCTCCCTGCTGGCCCCCAGACTTCCTATCTTGTTTCCCTGCTTCATTTTTCTTTCCTTAGCTCTCTCTGGCATATTACATGTTTTAGTACTTTACGGTATGTCTCTGTCTCTAAAATGTAAGTGCCATGAAGGCAGGAATTTTTTCTTTTGTGTTCTGTTTACCAGTTCCTGGAATTGTGCCTGTACGTAGTTGAGACTCGGTGTAAATGAAAGGAAGGGCAGGGAATCAAGTTTGGGTGAAAGTTTAGCCAGGGAAGGTTCCTGAAGGAAGTGACAAGCTGAGTCAGGAGAGTATCTGAAATGGAGGATGCGTTGTAGGCAAAGGAGCCCAGAAAAGAAAAGCCTGTCCAGGAGCCTGAAGTAGGAATGGCCGGGCCCAGGAGCTTGTGGGGAGGAGTGTGTGAAATGCGGGTGGACAGGCAGAGCGCACGGGCAGCTGGGAGAGCCCCGCACATCTTCTGTGGAGAACAGGGAGTCTGTGCTGGGGCTGAGGAGCACGCAGGGTGAGGGGGGCAGAGGGCAGGGGAGAGCAATAGGACTGAGGTGGAGGGTAAAGGAAACCCCGAGAGAATAAACAGAATGAAGGGGAGAATGGGAGGCAGGCAGTGCTACCAAAGGCTGACCAGACCCTGCTTCACAATGAGAAGGGAGGGTCAGTGTTAAAGAAAGAGGTTTACAAATGCCCAGCAATGACCAACTGTAAAACTTCACTGAAAAGGAACTCTGGCCACGTTGGGGGAAATGTGGTCATTTCCCCCTAGAAGACTAGGGCCATGGTTGAACGAAAACTGATGCAGAGGGGGTGGGAGCAGGTGGGAATCTTCGAGAGAAAATGGTCTGGGTGGGAAGGAAGGAGAGGGGCAGGGCGGATGTAAGGACTTCTGCAGGAAGGCGGGAAGAGGAGGCCCTCCGGCCTCCAAGAACGCCTCCCGCTGACAGAGGCCTTCATGGTGCTGAGTTCACAAAGGCCAGCTGACCACCTGGTTTCCACTCAGCCCAGTCAAGGTGATTTCAATTTCGATGGATGGAATAGACAGCCAACTCCTCCCTTTCCTTCCTGGCCTTTGGGAGAAGTTCTCTATGTGGACTGTACCTGAAAAATGAGGACAGAGTAACACGTACCCACAGGGTGGTGAAGCACATGCACGCTTAGCACATGTCTGCCATTCCTGTTACCAAATCTACCTCATGGTAACAGGAACCGTAACCCCAACATCTGGCCTTTGCTGACCACATGCCCAGAGTTCTGCCAACTGTTCTTCTCAGCTGTTCTTAGAAGCAGCTGTTCTTCTTACACCCCACTCCCACCCCTGCCCAAAACCACCTCCCTAAAGCCACCCAGGGTACTGTCTCCCTCAGGGCTCAGGGGCTCTGGCATTCCTTGGGACTTCAGCCTGACTCTGTCCCTCTGTCCATTGCACCATTACCCTCTTTTCCAGAGCCCTGGCCAAACATTCCTCAGCCAACAACTCTATCAGTTCTCTTCCCTCCCACCTGAGCCCCCAGAAGCACTCGGGATTGTTCAATCCTTTAGTCCAAATTCTGTAGCCCATCTCCTACCTCCCAGGTCAAGCCTTAGGAGTGTGCTAAGTGGAAAGTCTCAAAGACTGAAAACGGAAGATCTGCCCCGGTGACCCGCTCTCTCTATACCCAGCCTTGCTGGCACATGGAGGTATTGATTTAAAATAAGAAAAAAGAAAAACAGAAACAAGCAGCAGGGCCAGTTCAAGGTTTATTGAGGTAGGCGAGAGGACAATGATGCACAGCACAGAAAACTTCAAAAGGAACCTTTGGTTCTAAAAAGTTACACGAGCAGTAGGTAGGGGGACACAGGGAACTGGGGTGACCTGGCCCAGGCAGAAGGAAACCAGCAGTCCTGGTCCACGGCGCTCTATAGCACCTGCTGGGGAGGGGCAGAGCCAGTGGAAGGTCTCCAATGCTGAACATTAGCCCCAAGTCCCCAGAGTCCCAGGGCTCTCCCTCTGCCCAGGTCACTCAGAGCGAAAAGTCCTCTGATGTCATGCTGGGGTAACGGGGTAAGAAGGTCCAGCAATGCGTCACATGACGACAACACTCTTCACTCCGCTCTGCCACTGTCCAGGCTCAACCCCCAAACTAATCTAAAGCACAAAGTCAACTGAGGCCAGCAGCTTGGAACTTCCACCTCTGAAACACAGGCCGGCACAACCCCTTGGCTTTAACTCACCGTGGAGGCCCCTCCAGGGAAGCTATGACCCAGGTCAGCATGTTGAGGGTCAGGGCCTGCCTCCCCTGGGGGCTTCCTCCCACACTCTCCAGGTCCAAGGCAGCGCCCCTAGAGTGATGAGGAAGCCACAGAGCAGGAGGTCACAACAAGTATTTGGTCTCCAACGTTATTTCATCTTTCTTCAATTGGTATCAGTGAGAATGCCCCCAATTCAGCCCAAATGAGCTGCCAGGTTTTTGTTGGTTTTTTTTCATACCAATCTTGATTCAAAAAGGACTCTAAATGCTCCCAAAGAAGAGTCAAAATGAACACTGTAAAAAACAAAACAAAACAAAACAAAACAAAAAACAGGCCTTTTCAGGGCAAGAGAGGAGATGCAGTAATTGGCCGAGACAGCTGGAGAGCTGATTTTCAGGGACTCCACCCACTGAGGCCCCTCTGCATGTGCTGGGAGTGACGGCCACCGCCCCAGCGGCCGTCCCTCCACACTGTCACTGCGTGCCTGCACGTCCGTCTCCCCAGGTGCTTTTATGCTCACTCCAGCCTCACAACTGTCCTTGCGTGTGGCTCCCTCCTCCTGAGGACCCTCCCACTGCCCTTCCACCTCTCTTTCAAAGGCCTGCCCTGGTCCGCCACCGCCAAAACACTGCCTCCCTTTGAAAATGTTACAGTCATCACTAAACCTCACCCAACGCTGTACTTATTCATTATGCATAATTCATCCTTATTCCTAACACTCCTCAAGTGTCTACACCTTGACACGGACATAGCCTGTGTCAGGGAGGTGAAGCTGAGAAAGGCGAAGCTAAAAAGCCTCCTGCCATCGACTCGCACACGGCAGCCCACAGTGTCTGACAGCAGAAAGCATTGGCTGCAGAAGCGGATGTGTGAAAGCGTCAGCATTTGAAAGGGACGGGTGTGGACCCTCCAAACACGGGAAACTGCTTTCACCAATTCCTCTCCCTGCATTGTGAACAACCAGGGCACAGACAGCCCTGATCACTTTTGAATGCAGGTAAGCGTGGGGCAGAGAGAGATCCCAGAAGAGAAGCAGGTGCCAGTGGCCTGTGGAACAGGTTGAGTCTCAGAAAATGACCCAGGCAAGCACAGGACCACAGGAGTGACTGTTCTTTACTGTGCAAGCCCCTAGAACCTCCCTGCCAAGGGGAATCAAAGAGAAGTCACTTTGGATGAAAGTACTGGGAATATATCAAGTTTGGAAATGATGGGAATCACGTGGTCTTAAGTACCACAAAAGTCACCCCGACCACAGCTTTGTTTTTCAAATGGAAAGAAAAAGGGTCTGAATAGGTCACTGACTGGGAGAGAAGCAGAAGGGGATTCGATCCCAGGGACAGGAGTCTCTGATGCCCAGGTGCACCCGTTTTCCCTTACATGCTTCCGCTGCTGCCCCACGGAGGGCAGGCAGATACCCCAGAGAGGGCTGCGGAGGCACCAGGGCACAGCAGCTGCTGAAGGCCCGAGAGGGGCTGAGTGGGATCTGGTCTGGCTGGGGCTGGGGCGGTGAGCGGACCTAAGGACTCACAGAGAGGAGAGAGCTTCATCTCACCCCTCTGCTCGCTCCCTTACACGTCTTCACGCAAAGCCCCGGGAACACACACGTGACTGATGACTACTGGATGCAGGGAACCAATACTCCACAAAGTGGACCAGAGCTCTTACCTCGAGGACAATGGGGTCTAGAACGTTTCTGACATGACAACTCCCCTGACGCCTCTGCACACAGTGAACTTATCTGTAATAGACAAGAAGCCACAGATGAGCACCTGACTTGTCCCTGCTCGCAAAAGCTGCCAGGTAATAAGCATTCCACAAATGTTGGCTTTTATCACTTCCCGAGCAGACACACTATTTCCTCACAAAAAGGAATGTAGTTAACTCTAAAGAGACAGTGCAGGGTCTACGGCAGGTAGCCAATGCGGACTGATGTGCAGTAAATCGGTGATAGGCCGAAAGGATGCCCAGGCCTCGCTTCTGGGGGCTTGCCATGGCTGACCGGCAGCGACTGGGCTGGGCGCTGAGGGCACTTAAGCAACACACAGACTGTTCCCAGCAGCAGGGGCTGAAAAGTGAAAGCCCAAACAGTGACACTAATTCACACACAGTGGCCCCCGAGGCCCTGGAGGCCCAAGGCATGTGTCGAGGAGGATGGATGGATGTGGGAAAGCCCCAGAACTGGAAGGTGAGGACGTGGACCCTCCACACACGGGACAACCTATTCCACGTCTGCTCTGCCTGCACGACCAATGAGCAGGACACAGGCTGTCCACAGTCACTTCTGAACGCAGGGGCAGAAAAGGACAGAGAGTGCTTGCCACCAACGGAGGCCAACGGCACAGGCCGGGAGCAGTCAGCTCAGTTGAGCACAAGGACCCGGTAAGTGCTTCTAACGCTGCAAAAATTCCCAGGCAGGGGAAGCGAAGGGGAGACACCCTTGAAAGAAAAGCGATGGAGTTCTTAGGTTCTGAATGACAGGGCCCATGTAAGCCTAAGAAAAATAGGCTTTGTATTCCTGCTTTCTGGAGGATGAAACTGATAAGAAATCTAGGAGGAAGCAGAAAAGAGATTGAGACCCAGGTACAGGTGGGTATCTCAAAATCCTTCCTGCTTTTGATTCAGACCTTCTCCTACCAGCATAACATCTGATAAAGGGCTCCCTGAGAGCTCTCAGAACCAAGTATATAAGGGGGAACCAGGTGCATTCTTAAAGGTCCCAGAGAGGGTAAAAACCAGGGGCCGGACAAAGCCCCCACCTCCTTCCTCTAACCACTTCCCTGTGGGCACCACACCCAGGGAACCTGCTGCACCTGGTGGCATGCAAAGCCCCGGATCTCCAGAGAACAGACCTCATCTTCGGGGCATCGTGGTCCAGTCGCTTCCTGCCAGGATGGGGACACCTCTCACAGCCCCCTCTGCATCGAGCTGCTTCCTCTGCAACACATGAGAAGCCCAAGATGAGCAACCTACATGTCACCTGATCACAACAGGTCCTGATAAGCATATGCAGAACTTCTGGCATGGTAGCTGGCAGCTTCACAAGTACGGGCTGTTGTCACTAACCCACAAAGCACACCATTTTCTCATGAACTCGAAAGGAGTTTACAACTTCCAGTGGAACAAGAGATATGGCAGAGAAGGCTTTTCAAGTCATCTTTCACGCAAACTCTGATGAAACTGTATAGGTTCCAGAAGCTGGATCTTGAACAGGATGTGGAATCCAGGACAGGTTTGGGAGCGTGCAACACCTGATAGGCAATGCCTGGCACGGATGGGGCGGGTGATAAGACAGGAGAACCTCAGGTTGCCAGTGAAGGTAAGGTTAGGTTTCTATATATACCAGCCTCGTCTGATTTCATTACTGCTCTCGTTCCTGCCGCCATAACTGTGGGCCATGAGGAAAATCCTCCCTTGTTGGGCTGGACTCCATCTCATGCAAAGGGCCTACTGGCCAATAGGAATAACAATTCCAAGAGGAAGGAACACTGAGGAAGAACCCTCACCTTCTCTCAACTGGCTGGCTCACAAATAGTCTTCCCTGCTCCTCCACACAAGCCATGCCCCTTTATAAGAATGTGTCTCCCTGTCTTTGCTCCTGCTGTGCATTTATTCCACAGCTGCCAAACACTGGGTACCTGTCAGGCACTGAAGCTAAGGAGAGGCAACACTCAAGATACTGACCTCAAGCCCTGGTCCACGTGGCTCAATTGGGCATCATCCTATAAATGGAAAGGTTGTGGATTCGATCCCCAATTGGGGCATATGCAAAAGGCAACTGATCGATGCTTCTCTCTCACATCGACGTTTCCTTCCCTTCTTTCTTCTTCCCTTCTCTCTGGAATCAATTTAAAAAAATTTAAAGATAGTGACTTCAAGATCACAGCAGAGAGAAGCAAAGGCAAGAAAACCAATGATTTCCACAAAATATTAGTGCCCCCATCTCATGTCAAGCCAGTTCCCAGACTATATCCCACCAGGAACCCCACATGACGAAGGACCTGAACAGGGAGGGAAAGGAGGCAACAATGGCTTCGTGGACAGAAAGCCTGGGTGAGAAATAACGCAATTAGCAGCTCCACAACCGGCACATAGGCCCTTGAGAGCCAGACCCTGCTTCAGCCTTCTCTTTTTAAAGCCTCACAGAAACCAATCCATGTTAACAGTCTGCTGTCTGGTCAGGCAGGGGACAGCTGCCCAGACGAGCCCAGGACACTGAGCACCATCGTTCCTCCATGCCAGGATTGCACCTTCCCTCACAGGAGAGTCCACAGAAAGGCTAACTTTTGGTAAAAATGCCTGAATTCACCCCACAAATATGTTCTGTGTGCTAAGCATAAGCGGGGTCAAAAAAAATAAATAAATAAAACACAGACAATGCCTCTGCCCCGCCCCCAGCCCTTGCAGTTTCCCTATCTGAACTCGGGCCTTTCTGGACCCCAAACTCAGCCCTATATATTACACCAGGCCTCCTTCTGCACAAGGTCTTTGCAAGACAGTTCTCAGGGCCCACCTGAGTTCCAGGACCACCCCCTCTGCAGGGCCGGGGTGGGAGGAGGAAAGCCACTAGCCCTGAGTTCAAGGTGCTCAGGAGCAGCAGTACTCACCTGGGGGCCACCTCACCCTCTGGGTACACTGGGGGGGCATCAGACAGTGGGATCCTGGTTGGCAGGAGAGAAGGGGTGCTGGCTGCAGCAGAGCTCCAAGGCCGTCCAAGGGAGAGTTGCCATCTGTCTTCAAAAGCCACAGAGTCGCAAGACCTTGGCAGGGAAAAGCAAGGGGAAGGGGCTTTAGTGCGGAGCACCGGGACAGGTATCCAGGCTCTGGGGCCCTGAGAGCGTCGTTGAATTTAAAGCTCAGCCAATCTGTCTTTAAAGGGGAGGTTAAATTTTCCCTTAAAGGTTACTGAGGGAAAAGTAGTTCACGGTCATGAGAACACTGGGAAGGGAACGGAGGAGTGACTTTGGGGATTAAATGCCGGGAGTCGGAGGTGGGGGGAGGGGGTAGTGAAAATCAGGGGTCTCTGGCGCCCCTCAAGCCCAGGGTCACACGAGACCCTGCACGACTCGCTGCGGGACCTCGGGCCCACGCGTCGCTGGACCTATTTGTGGCCGTCAGCGGGCACAAGGCTTTTCCCTTGGCCAGGTGAGAACGGGGATCGGACGCCTGCACCTGCTCGCTCTAAAGCAGCGTCGGCCGACGGCGCGGACGACTTGAGACCCCTTTCTCGCGGAAACGAGCCCAGAGAGGTCCACACCCGGCGGAGGAAGCGGACACGGAACCGGGAGCCAGGCCTAGGCTCCGAGCTGACCTCCAGCCGGCTCTCCACGCCCTTCGGGGCCTCAGTTTCTCCTCTTGTCGGGAGCAGGTGGATGCAACACCTACGCAGCATGGCTCGGCAGTGACTCACCCGGACACCAAGGCCAGTGGCGGCGCCATCAAAGAGGACGGTGCCAGAAGGTTCGGACCACTCTGGACAACACCGGCAAGCTAACGCTGCGCCCTCCACCAGCTCTGCGCCGGCGGAAGTGAAGTTGGGCGCAGGTTGCAGCCTAGAGCGGCGTCGCTTGGGCCTAACCACACTCGTGGTCTCTTAGTGCCCCCTAGTGATTGGAGATGAAGATCTGACCCGCCAAATACCCAAGCATCCCTCCTTCCCCATCATTCCACCTATATCTATCCCTCCGTCCCTCCCTCCATTTATCTAAATAGGGGAGGAGTGGGGAGTGGGGGGCACAAGGTTTCAGTTTTGCAAGACAAAGAGAGTTCTGGAGATGGATGGTGGTGATGGTTGTCCAACAATGTGAATGCACTTGACACTACTGAACTGAGTATATAAAATGGTGAGTATGGTAAATTGTATGTGTATTTTATCATGATTTTAAAATTTAAAAATAGGTAAACTAATACATTGAAATGCAGTACATTAAGTTTTTTTAAATCATTGTTTATAGTAAGCTAGTTTAATCAATTTTAGTTATAATCATTATATAAAGACTAACATCATTCATAACTTTTAAAAATTCTTAGAATTCTAGGAATGAATATACATTGTAAACCATCAGCCAATATCACACACAATTTTAAAATCATAGAAGCAGTCTTCTATTTTTATCCTGGAAGTGCCCCCCAAAATCACCAAGGATGTCTGGTGCTCTCAGCTAGGAAAACCCAAGGTCTTAAGAGTGAAGAACTGAGGTGGTCAGCTAGAGTGGTGGAAGATAACCAGTCAAAGTCACATATCGTTGTCCTGGAATGCCCAAGTGTTCAGGCAAGAAAGCCAACAATTCTCAAGCCAGGAAAGTTTAAGTGATTAGCCACAAATATCTCAGTTATCTAGTTAACAAAGAAGGTCCAAAATTATTCAGAGAAGTTCAGTTAATTAACCATCCCAAGTCATTAGTCAAAAAGGTTGTTTTCAAGGGTCGTCCACCATGGATAGAAGGAAAGTCCAATCTCACTGTTGAGATTCTCCGTCTTTATCTAGGACTCCATTTCCCACGGCCTAGCTCTGCCAGTTTTTGAAGAGAGAGGGCCACCACTTCTCATGGGGACAGCCCCATGGCAGAGACCTGAGTCACTTATACCATTACTGAGCCCACATTCATCCCTTCTCCAAAACCAGCAGCCTTTAGCTCAGGACAAAAGTGAACCAGAAGCAAAAGTAGGGAGGCTGAGGGGGTCAGAGGACCCAGCTAGGGGACTCAGGGAGAAGAAGGAGGTGCTGACACCTAGATGGAAGCTGACCCTGCTGGAGGGACCCTCTGTCTCATCCCAGTCTGTCAGAGTATCCAGAGAAGGTTTGGGGCTGTTGGAGACTCCAAAACAGGCCAAGACCCAAGCCATGCGGCAGCTCAGGAAGAGCCCGTCCAGCCTGAGAAGCCCCAGGGAGCTGGGCTGGTCAAGGCTTCCATCAGGCCTCAGTTCCAACCTGCAGGAGCCCGAGCCTATTGCTTCCGGAAGACGCAGTAACAGAGGAGCAGTAAGAAGGCAAGGAGGATGATGGACAAGTACAGCAAGGTCTCCAGCATGGTGGCCATTCTTAGTGTGGGAACGGGGCCTGGAGCTCCTGCAAGCCTCACAGGCCGGTTGCTGACTTCCAGCCTAGACCCTGGGCGTCAGCTCCTTGGAACAATCTGCCAAGCCAGCTGTTCCATTTCCCCAAGGGAAGTGGCTCACTCAGGCACTGTGAGGTCACAGACTCTAGATTGGTGGAATGTTGGCCTCAGCAGTACAGCCCAATCCATTGTTAATGAGACCAGAATGTTAAAAACAGGGCCCCTCCTCGTATGTATTCATTATTTATTTTTTTTTTTTGCCAGCTTCTTTAGACTTTCTAAGTGGAAGTATCTTTCCCCTGTCCCTAGAGAAATATCAGGCAGGCTTCAAAAATTTTCTGACATTCTTAGGTTGTAAGTCTTATAATCACTAAAAATAAGGAACACAGTTTCCATTCAATTATTTGAAATGTCCCGTTTAATGTATTAATTACATTTTCAATGATCATTTGTAAGTAGAACTTCTCTCCACCAGCTTGGACCAAGTATAGAGTGGGCTGCCGTCTGCTGGGAAGGGGCAAGAACTTTCTCTCCTTGCTTATTCGTATGTGTTTCCCTTCACTTGGTTTCTGTTTACTCTCCTTCTTCCAACACCTCCAAGGTCCAAACAGATGGAATAAAGAATAAAGTGGAAGGGAGACTTCTCTCTGGGTTGGGCTCATGTGTAATGCTGAACCTTTCTCTTTCGGCCTCTATTTTAAAGGTTCTTTGGAAGTCTCCGTCCTGGTGCCCCTTTGACTGCACCTTTAGTGATGTGAACAGGCCCTCTTCTTAGGGTTTCCTCATCCTCACCTGTCCCCTCATGGGCAGGACCTTTTGGGTGTCAGGCACACATTCCTCCCACGGATTCCACACCTGCTGAAGGAGATGAAGAACCTTTGTCCAAGTAGTGGATTAGGAACTGGCCACCATTTGCAATATGGTGATGACAATATATTTCTCATATATATGTGGTCATTTGGATGACCACAATATATTTCTCATATATACGTGGTCTTCAATCAAGGTTCCTTACTCACAACTCCCAAAACCTTTGGAATTTCTTAAGCGTCGAGAGTGGTAAAGGTGAATGAGCTGACTTTTGGAAGCACCTGAGGATGGGGGCTGCTTGCCAAGGGAACCAACCAAGTGATTGAGTGTTGGAACTTTCCGTCCCACCCCCAACCTCTGACTTTCGGGGAGGAAAGATAGGCTAGAGATTGAATCAATCACCAATGGCCAGTGGTTCAGTCAATCATGCCTTGTAATGAAGTTGCCATAAAAACCCAAAAGCAGGGAGTTTGGAGAACTTCCTCTTAGGATGTCCCAGGTTCACAAGTAGGTTGGCATGGAGGGTCATGCTGTCAGCCTCCTGCTTGCTGCTTCTTTCCTCTGGCTCCAAAGGGCTAATGAAATACTGATGGCATTAGACCCGCTCTGAAGAACACAAGCACAACAGCTATCAGTTGCGTGTGGCTACAGAACACCAGAAATGTACCCAGTCCGAATTGTAACGTGCTGTTCATGTAAAACATGTGCGGGATTCCAAAGACTTTGTACAATGAAAAAAAATAATAAATATCTCATTTATCAGTAAAAAAGATTGATTATATGCTCTAATGATAATATTTTGGTATCTTGGGTTAACTAAAATATATTATTACAATTAATTTCACTTTTTTTTTTTACTTTTTTAACATGGTTCCTAGAAACTTTAAAATTATATATGTGGCTGGCATTATATTTCTACTGGCCTTAGACTTTTTTGTTTTAAATTTTATTTATTTATTTATTTTTAGGGAAAGAGAGAGGGAAACATCAATGTGTGGTTCCCTCTTGAGCGCCCCCCACTGGGGACATGGCCCATAACCCAGGCCTATGTCCTGACTATGAATTGAACCAGTGACCTTTTGGTTTGCAGGCTGGCGCTCAGTCCACTGAGCCACATCAGCCAGGGATGGCCTTAGACTTTTCAAACACAGTACACTCACATTAGATCATAAATAATCCCACAGGGTCCTCACAGTGACAGAAGCCCTTGGCTTTCTCGGAAACACCTAAGTATCGCAACTACCATGACATGGCCATTTGTTCTGTGTTATGCTCTTGATATAAATCATTTCACTTAATTATCACAGCAACACTATGGGGCAAGGGGAGCTCTGACTTTGCCCATTTTTCAGGAAAGGAAAACTAAGGCTGGGCAGAGAAGTTAGGTCACTTAGCCAAGGCTGCAGGGAGAGTAAGAGCAGGAGTAGGAGGCAAGAGAGGACAGCAGGGCTGGGTAGCCGCAAGTGTACATACCTGACCCCTTTGTCCAGCATCCTCACATTCCACAGCCTTTCCCAACACAGAGACCCTCAACATTCTCACAATCTTAGAATTCCAATAACTTCTCCCAGAACACAGAATGTGGAGTGTTCTCATGCTCAAAGACCTCCATTTTTTCCCTCTTGATTGCATACACATGCATTGGATTTCTGCAATGTGCTTAGTGAGTGCCAGGATCTGACTGAGGGAGCCCCCTCCTCAGGGCCGAGGGTCACCTGTTCACACTTCAGAATGTGGGCTGAGTTAGTGGCAGGGTTGCCTCAGGTCTGAGAGGTACACCTGGCCCAGGATGTAGGCAGTGGCAGTGCTTGTGAGGTGTGGGGGCCATGAGTCCCCTCCCAGCCCTGTGTCTAGTGTGATGTTGGGAGCACAGGACCTCTGTTTTCTCTGTCACTACGCAGATTTGATCAACTTCCTTCTGCCTCAAGGACTCTCTCCACACTCTAATCCTATTTTAATTTTAGGACAAAGTTCAGCAAAGCACCTGCCCACTTCTCTAGGTTCATCTCGTCACTTTTACATTCCAGACTCAGGCCTTTGGAACAATATTTTAGACTGGCGATGTCCAAGTAAATACATGGACAGAATTTACTCATTTGTTCAACTGTGCCAGCTAGTAAACTAGGTACTCTGAATTCAATCATCATCACACAGGTCCTATTGTCCAAACTAAACACAATGAACGCCGAGCTCCCGCTAATAAACGCTCCTCACGTGGAAGAGCGATCAGTTCTACACATTAATGATAAGTCAGTAACCAAGGCACACTTTCAGAAAAAATAGGAAAGCAAAACAAGTCGTGGGATTATTATTTTAATTCCAGAGTGCTTTGGGAAATTATCCCAAACCCTCGAGTCAGAGTTCAAACTCCGCTCCACCAGGGGGCGCGCAGCTCTAGGGAGGCGCCGCTCTAGGCCGCAGCCCGCGCCCCAGCCTTATTTCCGCCCGCGCTGAGGAGTTTTGGGAGTGTTGTGCTCCCGTGGCTGCTGTCCGCAACCGTCTCACGCCATCTCCCGAAATCCTCGGACATCTTTGCCTTCCCGCTCTATCAGCTCTGTCTTCGCCGCTGTCTCTCGCCGTCGCTTGCGGCGCCCGGGTGAGTCCACTGCAGGGAGCGCCGGGCGCGTGGTCTGCGCTTCTTCAGTGAGCCCCAGGAAATTTGAGGCCCGGAGAGGCGCAGAGAGCCCGCAGAGGTCAGCTTCGAGCCCAGGTCTGGCTTCTAGTTCCATGCCGGTTTCCTTCTTGGGGAGTGGAGCTCTCGAGGTTCGTGATCTCGAGAAGCGGACCTCAGGTCAGCCGGTGCTGCTACTAGTGGGCTGGTGCAGGCATCGGATCCCCGTTCTCACCCACCACGTGGAGAAGGCCTGTGCCCGCTGATGGCTAGGAACGGGCCCGGCGGCGCGTGGGCCCGAGGTCCCGCAGGGAGTTGTGTGGCGTCGTGTGTGTCCTCTGCCCTGAGGGGCGCCAGAGCCCCCTAATTTTCACTACTCGCACCACTTCTGACTCCCGGTATTTAATACAGGCAAAGCCACTCGTCCGTGGGTTGCCTGCTAAGTTTTCTTACAGTAGTTAACTCATTTCCCTGTAATAACATTTAAAGGAAAGTTTAAACCTCCATTTACAGATCTGTTGGCTGAGCTTTAAATGCCAGGACACTCACAGGTCCCCGGAGTCTGGATTCCTGTCCCCCCTGCTCTGCACTAAAGCTCCTTGCCCATGCTTTTCCCTGCCTAGGCCTTTGGACTCTGTGGTTCTTGGCGACAGGACAGCTCTCCCTTGGATGGCCAGAGCCTCTTCTCTCCTGCAGGACCCTGGTGACACTCCTGCCTGATGGGCCAAAAAGTTCACTTGGTTTTTCAGGTAAGATGGCTCTACGTCTCTGGTAGCCCTTAGTTTTTTTTAACTTCATCCTAAACAATTTTGTTAGATTGTATTGTGACAGCTGTCATATCAGGGTGCATTAAAAAAAAAAAAACAACTTATCAAAATTGGTGAATTTTTGTGTAGCCATTTTAATATGGAAGGTGAAACAAAAGCAACATTTTCAGCATACTGTCCTTTATTATTTCAATAAAGGTAAGAATGCAACTGAAATGCAAAAAGAAAAAAAAAAAGATTTGTGCAGTGTATGGAGAAGGCGCTGTGACTGGTCGAATGTGTCAAAAGTGGTTTGTCAAGTTTCGTGCAGGAGATTTCCCAGTGGACAATGCTCCATGGTTGGTAGGGTAGACCAGTAGAAGTTCATAGCGATCAAATCGAGACATTGAGAATAATCACTACACCATGTGGGAGAGAGCTGACATACTCAAAATAGCCAACTTAAGCAAAATCCTTTGCGCTAACTCAGTTACATTAAACAGCTTTGATGTTTGGGTTCCACATAAGTTAAAGTGAAAAAAACCTTGGCTGTATTTCTGCGTGTGATTCTCTACTTAAACATAACAAAAACCTTCCGTTTTTAGAACAAATTGTGGTGGGTGACGAAGAGTGGATACTTTCCGTAGTGTGGAGTGGAAGAGCTCAGAGCAAGTGAAATGAACCACTGCCAACCACACCCAAGGCCGGCCTTCATCTGGAGAGGATGATGATGTGTAGATGGTGGGATTGGAAGGGAGTCCTCTATTGTGAGCTCCTTCTGGAAAACCAAACGATTAATTCCAACAAGTACTGCTCCCAGTTAGACCAACTGACAGCAGCACCCGACAAAAAGTGTCTGGAATCAGTCAACAGAAAATGCAAAATCTTCCATCGGGATAATGCGAGACCGCATGTTTCTTTGATGACTAGGCAAAAAGTTACAGTGTGGCTGGGAAGTTCTGATTCATCTGCTATATTCATCAGACATCCCAGATCTAAACTTTTCTGACTCCAAAATCCAGGCCCATCTGTAACACCGGGTCTCCTGCACAGGGCCTTGGCGAGACCCTTCGCAGAGCCCACCTGAGCTCCAGGACCACCCCCTTTGGGGTAAGACAGGAAGGCAACTAGCCTTGAGTTCAGGGTGCTCAGGAGCAGCAAGCAGCACTTACCAGGGGACAGTAATTTAGCCTCTGGACAAAGTTTGTTCAGCGTTTAAGTAAAAAGAATAATTTTTCATTTTCACCACTAATTTGATTGAACAACATATTCACCATTTTCTTCCACTACCTTCTGCCATCTTTCAGGCAACTTCATAATTCCATCTTCTCAAACTTAACTGTTCCAGGTGCCTTTTGCAGTCTTCCAGGGAACTGAAATTTTTTCTGTTAAGAGAATGTTGTAAAGAATGAAATAAATGGCAATCCGAGGGTGTGACGACTCGGCTCCACCTTAGCTGTGTGACCTCGGGTGAGTTTCTTTGTTCTCTCATCTGCTTTCCTTCTGGTGGGGAGACTGGCAGCTCAGAGAGGGCAGAGGCCACCTCCGTTTTTCTTTATTTTTTAACCCACAGTGCTTGGCACATAGTAAGTACTCAGTACACACTTGTGAGGTGAATGAAAAATAGAGACCTTTGTACCAGAAGTTGGTCTTCCTCTTGACGAGAGGAAGTGGTACCTACGTGGAGTGATGATAGTGTTCTGGGCTTGGCTGGGCAGTGGCGTCCTGCCTGGGCACATAGCAGGCTGTTAACCTGGGCTTCCCTTTCTGGTTCATCCTCTGCCCTTTTCTGCCCCTGCATTCGAAAGTGATCGTGGGCTGCCGTGCCCTGGTCATCGATAGTGCAGGGAGAGGAACTGCTGAAAGCACTTCCCCGTGTTTGGAGGGTCCACCCTGTCCCTTGCAAACCCTGGAGCTTTCACACACCCCCACCCTCCCACCTCCTCTCAGACGCCTCCTGGCCCCAGGCTCTGGTGTATTGAGTCCTCTCTCTACCTGGCGCTGCTGCTTCCTGTGAGGCCTTAACAAAGCCATTCCATTTCAGCAGCTCCGTGTCCCTTTCTGTGTTTGAAGTGAGTACAGGCTGTCCGTGTACAGGCAGGCAAAGGAAAAGGGGGGAGGTGTCCCTCATTCAGAGGATCCACCCATGTCCCTGCCTCATGGGACAGCCTTAGGTGACTGGCAGTAACTGAGCATAAAGTAAGTGAGGATCAAGGGAGACAGACTGTCAGTGCATTCACAGGCTAAGACTAGGATGTCCCAAGTGGCTTTCTGTTGATGCGCATGATGGTTTTCTGGACGTAGAAGCAGTGCCGAGTGGTCAGTCACATGCTGGTTCTTGTCCCCTGCAGGAGTGTCATGTGACTGCTGTTCCATGTATGTGAGGGGTGTCCTTGGGGAGAGCCTGGATTTTGCAGTTCCAGGTAAGTGGTGTCCTGTGCTGCCTGGTTCTTTGCAGGCTCTTAGGCCTGAGGTGTGGGGAGCGAGAGCGCAGGCGAAGGCTGTTTCCCACATTCCCTGCTTAGTGCCCCTTGGGCCAGTGGACACAGGTCTGGGACTCTTGGGGTCCGGCGAGCCCGAGGCGAGGGCTCCTAAGATGTTGGGAGGGAAACAGCAGGGTGTTGGAGTGGGCGGAGGGCTGCATTTTAGAGGCAAACCTGGATTCCCATCCAGCGCCCGGCTGGGTGACCTGTGCGCCTGAGAGGGAATCCTGTCCAGTGTCCAGCGTCGGCACCGCTCACACTCGGTCTTTCCGGACCCGGGGACTCTCAGTGCCCCACTGTTAGTCTTCCCCTTAACTGTTAACTCTTGGCCGCGGCCTGGTAGGTAACCGCTGAAAATCAGATGTGGCTCCTGTCATCTTAGGTTGTAAATCTGGTCACTGACTTGCCGGTCGTCTCAGTCCGGGTCATTCCTCAGGCTGCTGGCAGTGGTCTCCCGTCTCGTCTCGCTAACTGCTCTTTTCTGCCCCTGCATTCGAAAGTGATCGTGGGCTGCCGTGCCCTGGTCATCGATAGTGCAGGGAGAGGAACTGCTGAAAGCACTTCCCCGTGTTTGGAGGGTCCGCCCTGTCCCTTGCAAACCCTGGAGCTTTCACACATGTCTTCCCACCAGTTTGTGTTCCTTCCCGGTACCTGGTGCATGTGGCTCACTGAGAGGCCCTTTAGCTGAGCAGGGCCCGCTTCACGGAGGTTAAGGTTAGGGCTGGTCACGCTCCTCCCAGGGCTCCCCTCCTGGAAGCTTGCCCTGCCTCCCATCGCATGCATCCCTTCCCACGTCCTCAGCCCTGCCGCTTAGCACTGCTCACACCTGGAAGTGGTTGACTTGTATATTGTACCCCTGCACCATGATCTCCAGGGCAGTGCCTCGGTCTTGTTTTGCATTGTGCCCAGTGCCCGACACGTAGTGCCTTGACGAAGCAAAACAGAACGAGGCGGTGGGATGAGGAGAGGACAGGCCGTGGTAAGGTGGTAGGGCTCTTCCAAGTGTGGGTCCTCTAGGGAGCAAATCCGTAGAAGAAAGGCTGGGGCCGGGACATTTCCTTTCATTCCCCACTGGAAGTGTCATTTCTCTAATGAAAGATAGACTGCTTGTGGTTTGCCTTTAGTCTTGGCGCGGACAGGGCCCGTGGTCCATCAGGGGTGGTTTTCCCTCTTCCCTTAGGTTAAGGGGCGGCGACTGGAGCAGTGATAGAGCTGCGCCAAGCACTGCGTAGCTGAGGGTGTGTATGTAAGCAGTCCCCAGACTAGATGGCCGACATGGGGCCTCCCTATCACCTGGTGCCCCTCCCGGATCTTGCTGGTCGCTGCCAGCCAGCCGCGACACCCTTCCTAAAACCTGGCTTCGGCATCCTTTCAACGTGGACTTGCAGTCAAACGTATTGATCACAGGTGGCACATAGAATAACATGGATGCCACTCCTGACCACAGGTGAGCTGCAGACCCCTTCCTAGAGTTACATTGTTCTCGTACCTGAGGCAGCAGCGCGGCCGTTCAGGTACTCGCAGAAACAGCCCGCGTTTGTGGGTGCTCTGACCTGCCAGCACTGTGCCCAGCCTTCTCTGCCCCCAGGGCCTGCTGCGAGTGCCCGTTTGTGGCTTGTCTCTTGCAGATGGGTCTGCGGGTGCAGAGGTGCCGTGGAGGACGTCGGTCATCTTCATGTCCGTCTGCATCAGCTGGGCGCTGGACCATGGGGCCCTGAGGTAAGGTTTTAGGACCATTTTCTGGAATTTTGTTGTTTTGCATCTGTTAAAGTCACATGCATATTCCCTTGGGCGTGGGTGAAAATGTAAGGGGAAGGGAGGCCAAAGTGGCATCCCGTGAGTTCACATTCGTGCCCCTGGTCTGGGGCAGTCCCTCGCATGGCTGCCGGGGAGGGGCCTCAAGAAACCTGCTTGGGTAAAGGGCTCCTGGGGGTGTCTCCCTGCCAAGTACCGGAGTACAGGCAGTGCGCTCTGATGGAAAACGTGTGGATTTAGACGCCTGAGATTTTGGTCCTGCCTCTGAACCTGTGTAGCTCTGTGACCTAGTCTTCTACTTCATCTAAAAATCAAAGCTGGGATAGTAGAGGGGTTTTTTTGTTTTTTTTCTCATGCTGATATCGTGGCCATGTGATCCTGCTCGTTTCCAACCCAAGAGCATTTCCAGTTTTTTCATGCTGGAAGTGTCTTGATTCTGTAGCAGGGAGGTTTTGGGGGGTCTTTGCAGGACATATCAGAAGCTGCTGGGGCTCTGCACTCGGCTGGGCCCCTCTCCCTGACTCAGGCCAATCCCCAGGTTCCTGGCACCAGCCCCCCGCCCTTCCTGGCTCTCCTGTCCCTTTCTGCTCCTGCGTCCGAAAGTGATCATGGGCTGCCAGTGCCTTGGTCATTGATAGCGCGGGGAGAGAATTGCTGAAAGTGGTTGTCCCCGTGTTTGAAGGGCCCCGCTGTCCCTTCCAAACCCTGGAGCCTTCGCACACTAGGCTTTTCCTCCTGCCATTCCCTCCAAAGCTCGGGCCTTCGCACACCCCCATGTGATACGGTGGCTGGGCCGGCCCCGGACTTGTGGGCTTCGCTTTGTCTTTTCAAGTTAAGGATCTGCTTGTCAGAAACCAGTCCATACATTTATGTTTGGGCCTCACAGTGGAGTACGTTCAGATTGTGCTGGGGGACGTGCGTAAATCGTGCTTTCTGTGTTGTGAAGTTGCAGGAGTGTAGGATAATCCATAGTACATCATTCAAGACAGCGCGTGACTTAAATGCTTGCTTGTGTGTTGTCTTTGCTCCTTGAGTCTTTCCTGAACACAATGTGTGTTGCTTTTCCAGGAGCTGTCAGGAATGTCAGGTAAAGGTGGAAGCCAGGGGTAGTGGCAAAGGCGATCTATCAGTTCTGAATCAGTAAAAAAGTTCTTATTTGTCACAGTCTACCAGGAAATTGAGGAGTGTTCTTGTCAGTCACTGAGAAGAGAGCACATGGACTGATTACTCCTTTCACTGGTTTTTAATTGATGCTTCTGTGGGGTCTCTCTCCCTTTTTTAAAAAAGATTTATTTATTTTTAGAGAGAGGGAAAGGAGAGAAAAAGAGGAGAGAAACATTGATGTGTGAGGGACACATCAGTGAGTTGCTCCTTGCACACGCCCCAGTCAGGGACTGGGCCCACAACCCAGGCTTGTGTCCTGACCAGGAATCGAACTGGCGACCTTTTGCTTTGCAGGATGACGCCCCACCAACTGAGCGACACAGGTCAGGGCTGTGAGTTCCCTTTAGAAAAGGGTTTTTACTAGAGAAGAAATTTGCAGGCTTGTGGATCTTTGTATTTGTAGACTTAAGACTCCCTGGCTTGTGTTCGGGTTCACGTTAGAGCATTGTGTTGCTGACTGGGCACTTTCTGGCACGTGCAGAGGAGCTGACCTTCTGTCATTTGTTTTGCGCACTGCAGATGTGCTCTGTAGGAGGCAGAAACCTGCGACGCTGCCTTCACTTGACTAAGATGCAACGTGGTGCCCCTAAGAGGCATGTCTTGGCTGAGGTGAAGTTGGAGGTGAGGTCAAGATGTCCATCTGATTGAGCCCCACTTTTGGGTCTGAGGGCTGCTGTCTAGTTCCAAGTCCTCTTGACAGTCAAGTCTCTCATCTTTAAGGATGGGATCCAGTTTTGCCATGTGTGGTTTTTGTTTATTTGGCTGGTTGGTTGGGGGTTTTTTTTCCATCTCATGATGACATGAATATATGTGAGCCACCTGGTACAGGCGGCCACCTAATAAACATGCGGTTTCCCTTGTCTTTCAAACCTGTCCCTTTGCCCCTTGGCATCAGAAGCTTGTCGTGTCCCACAGTCTAGTTCCTGGGCCTGCGGCTCCTCAGTCAGGCTGGAGGGTTTAGTGGACAGCGGTGACCATTTTGAAAAGACCGTTTATCGCCCCTCGGCCTGAACCCCAGACCTGGTGATTCAGACCTCTGAGGTAGAGTCCTGGGCTCGAGTGGGGGCTCACTTAACGTGATGTGCACCGGCTTTGACGATGCTTTTTCACTTAGCCTTCAAATGGGCCTGGCAGTTCGATCCTTACAGATGTGGGCACCTAACAGTTCTTGCTGGAAGTTTACCTTCCATGTGCCTTTTTTCAGCTGGGTCATACACAGTGGGTCTTTGCAGAACAGGATGGCTGCTGTTGGGGCCTTGTGACGTGCTAGGCAGATAAGTAATGACAATATAGTGTAAGAGCTGCTGAGGATTGGGGGTGGCGGTCCACCCCTTGATCCAGATGCAGTGGGACCTCAGTGTCAAAGCCCCTGACAGCGAGCGCTGAGCTGACTTCCTGTGCTTACCCTTCTCTGGGTCAGCGGCCCTGATCGTGAGCTGATGGAAAGAAAATCATTTCTTATTAACAGCGGGCTTTTACGATGCTTGTCTTTATTGCCCTTTCTATGCCGGTGTTACCTAGTTTGGTGTCTATAAACTGGGGGCCTGGGCTGGGTTAATTGGGACCTTCCCAGGGATGTCACTTGGGGAGAAGGTGGTGCTAGAGACTGAATACCCGTATGCTTCCTCTGCCTCTCAGGTCAGCCTTAGATCGGAGACTGTTGAAGAAAGTCCCGAGGCCATGAATCAGTGACCCTCAGTGTGACTTGGGACCTGGGTTTCCTTTCATTTCTCTCCAAGGTGAGTTAATACCCGCTGCTGGGAACCCATAGCCGGAGGGTGAGCCGGTTTGTGTTCGTGCAGATGGGGGCTCCAGACCTTGAAGCTCCCCTGTCCTCTCTTTCAGATTCTCTTGGTGGTCGCTGTGGACACCAGAGGGGCAGAGAACTGAGAGGGAGGTTCCCACACGAAGCCTCACCACAGCGCCCCCCACTGCCTGCTCGGCGCATCACCCAACGGCTGTTCACTCTGCACAGGAGATCAGAGGGAAAGCTTGGGGTCCACCTCAACTGGCTCTGCCCCTAGACAGCAGTACTCTTTGAAGGCCCGCCCTGTGTCCCTCTGTCCTGCCTGGTGTGACTTTAATAACCACCCATTTAATAAACCTTACAAACTTGCTCTGTCTGCCCTTTAATTCAGCATCAGGCCCTGTGCCAGCAAGGCTGGGCCTGGAGAAGGTGGGTCGCAGGCCAGGTCTCGTTTTCAGTTCCTATGTGTTTATCACTCTCCCGAGGCTCAGCACATGGGCTTTTGTTTGAAGTGTTCAGTGAGGGCCGGGAGGACAACAAGTGACGGTAGTTGGTTCAGACTTGGGACCCCTGAGAGCTGAGGGTGCTGGAGAGCGGTCAGGTCAAGGCTTTAGAACCGTGGTCCGTGGCAGGACGCTGGTGTCATTGAGAAGGGGGAGTGGCCTGGAGTCTGGGACCTGGCTCATAAATAATTGCCTGCTTGTATGACCGACTTGTCCTAGTTTGGCTGGGCCTGATGGGTGTTCCAGGACGTGGGACTTCAATTACTAAAACCGGGTAAGCCACAGGCAAAGTGGGTGAGTTAGTCTATTTATCTGGGGTATAAAATACATGGTATCATCTTGAGAGGACAGGCTACTGTGTAAATGTGGGAGCAGGGTGAACGTGGAGCAGCTGCCATTGAACCTTAGGGGTGTTCTCAAGGTTGGGCTTTTTGGAGATCACTGGGTTAAAATCAGTAATGGCCACAGTGTAAGGCAGTGCATGCTTGAATTTTTTAAATCCTATTTTACAAATGGAGGGGGTCTGATGGAAGGAAGGCTGGGGTTAAATGTCCAGTTTCTGCTTTTGAAATTGAAACCACATTGGCTGGGCCGAGGCAGCACTCGGGCTCTCGAGCCCGCCTGAGGTCGGCGCCTTGGTGGTCTCCCCAGGGGCGGGCATTGTCCGTGGCTGACGCGCTCCACTCTGCGCCCCGGTTCTGGGCTGAAGCATCCAGAGGTCCAGGGTTCTCTTTCTGCCTTGCCCTTTCTAGACACACCCAAGGACCATCCTCTGACTTCCATTCACTACCTTTATTTTTATTTTTAAAGATCTTACTCATTTTTAGAGAGAGGGAAGGGAGGGAGAGAAACATCAATGTGAGAGTGAAACATCAATCAATTTGCCTCTCGTAAGCACCCAGATCTCTGACTGAACCCACAACCCAGGCCTGCGCCCTGACTGGGAATGGAACTGGCAGTCTCTGAACGCGGCTTTGTCGGCTGGTACCCAGCCACCGAGCCATACCGTTCAGGGCTTATTTGCCACCTTTAGTTAGATGGTCACAGCTGCCTGAAGAGATGCCAAGAGAAGGAACGTGGGTCCACTTAAAAGTTGTGGCCGGCGCTGGCCTGGTGGCTTGGTTACAGTGTCATTCCATGCGCCAACGCGCTGCCAGTCAGGGCACGTGCCTCGGTTGCAGGTGCAGTCCCTGATGGGGGCACGTTCAGGAGGCAACTGATGGGTGTCCTCTCTCAGAGGTCGGTGAATAAACCCTTGGGTAAGGGTTAGGAAAGAAGTTGCAGCTGGTTGGTGAGGTCTGCTGCTGTGGAGACCCCAGGCACATCCCATCAGGCGCCAGGTCATCAGGAGCCATCCCTGGTCTCCAGTGCCTGAGGAGAGGCATTCCAGCCAAGGCGACCCTGGAGCCAGGAGTAAGGTCAAGGAGGCGTGACCCTTTCCCGGAAGGCCTGGCGGAGGGGAGATTCCACAGCAGAATCGAGAGCTAGGAGAATGGAGAGATGGGCAGATTGAAAGTTCATGCATTACAAAAACCAGGGTGTAAGCCAGACCCCATGTTAGGAATGGCACGGTGGTGAAGAACTTGTGCCTTCACGGGGATCACCAATAAGGATATAGGTGCTTGTCCCTTTGCTCAGAGTTTTGTATACTTTGTCTTTTGTTTCAGGTAGAACTCTTCAACATTTTTTATAATGCAGGTCTTGTGGTGAATTCCCTCACCTTTTGTTTGTCTCATGTCAATAAATACACATCAAGGAAGTAGCAAAAATAAGGCTTTGAGCCCTGACCAGTGTGGCTCAGTTGGTTGGACAGTGTCCTGCCAAGTGGAAGGTCACTCATTCAATTCCTGGTCGCGCACATGCCTGGGTTGTGGGCCAGTCCCTGGTTGGGGTGTGTGCGCGTCAGTGGATCAGTGTTTCTCACATCGATGATTCTCTCCCTCTCCTCCCTTCCCCTCTCTCTAAGAATGAGTAGTCTTTTAGAAAACGGAGAAAACTTTGAGCTCATTTCTGCTCTTGCTCCCTTAACTGTGATATCAAATGACATGTACAAATTAAGTGTTAACACGTGTTTAGTCTTAAGCAGGATGCTCTGGGCTGCGTGGTGACTAGACAACTCGTGCTTTTTTCCTTCACCAAGGTTTATCCTAGCAGCAGACAGGGAGGGAGTAGGGGGTAAGCTCCCCAGAGTAAAGCTGAGGACAGCTGCTAAGGGAACACGTAGGGATGTGAGGAGGAGGAGGAGGAAGGCGGGGAAGGGTGTCCCATGGTCAGGTGTGACTTTAGGCACTGTAGGCTCCCTGGTGCCGAGTGGCCATGGAGACAGGGTGCTCATGATGCTACCAGATAGGCAACAGCCTGGAGCAGATCTGTCTCAGGCTGGCCCTGTAAGCGTGTGGGTTCTTGACTTCATGTAGGAAAGATTTCATCACACGAGTCCAGGTGATTTTGAAAATTCATTTATTAAGGCTGGGGACAGTGAAACAAAGGGAAGGCTTAGAGTGGAAGAAGTAACAAGAGAGCTTGGGCAGTGTTCTGCTTTGGCTTCCTAGAAATGTTACAGGAAAGGAGTAAGCCAAGGTGACATTCTGCTGTTAGCTCGCCTGGGAGGTGAAGACACAGAGACAGAGGACTTGGTGTAGAGGAAGCAACAGGAGAGAGCCTAGGTGGTATTTTCCTGTTAGCTCACATGGAAATCAGAGACAGAGCGGGCCCTGGAGACAGGATCAGGGGCTCAGCCCGGGTCCAGCTGCCCACTGCTCTCCTGGTTGCAAGCCTCCTTGGGACCCTTAGGTCCCAATTTAGGAGGAAATAGAAAGTTCATGCTCAAAAAGGGGCACAGTGTGCTCTAGAGCAGGGGTCCCCAACCTCTGGGGCGTGGAGGTACTAGTCCGGGCCGTTGGGAGCCAGGCTGCACAGCAGGAGGCGAGCTTGAATCCCCAAACTGCCACTGCCCTCCCCAGTCTGGAAAGATTGTTTTCCACGAAACGTCCCTGGTGTCAAAACACTGGGGACCGCTGTTCTAGAGCGAGCCCTGCACCACGTCTTTGTTCTGAGGGCTTTTTATCTTTTTTTCTGCAGGTGAGAATCTTAGGGGACGGTTTGAGCAGAATACTCATTAGTTTTTCAGTTGCATTTTAATATGCTGATGTATCAGAATAAGCACGTAGGAGGTTTGGGGAATATTCTTTGGTCTGTTTCACTTTTATCTGGGGACTGTCCGGCATTCAATGGCATTTTTGTTGTTTGCCTCTCTGACTTAATTTGTCCTTGAGTTTAGCTGGCACAAATGACATTAATTGGGTCTTTGTTCTTCATTTCCCAGGCCAGGAAGATTGAAGCTATGTGTTCTTTGGTTAGGGAGGAGAGGTACAAGCCATTCGCTCTCAGGCAGCCTTAGGGAAGAAAAGTTCTTGCCATTATTCACCAGCAAGCTGCTCAGACTCTTTGGCCCTGTTTGATTTTCTTGTCTCAGTTTCCCCATTTCCCTTGCCCAGGAATTTTCCTAGGTTCTTACTCTCCTGCCTCAGTGGGAGAGGAAACAATGGCCGCAGCCCCGGGGCTCCGCAGGGCAGGCCGGGAAGTCCAGCTGTGATATCGTCCACTTCTCCAGCCACTGGTGCTCCCCAGGTGGAATAAGTTCAACTTATTCCACATTGGCCCCTACAAGCAGGAAGTTCTGGAAAGAAGGCCAAAAGGGCAGGCAGGAAAGGTTATTATCTGAGCTGCATAGAAGCTTCTGGCTAGGGAAGCTTATAGGGAGAGGCCAGTTCTCAAACAAAAAAATCAGGTTGGTGCAGAAACCAAGCCCTTAGGCTTCATGAAAGGAGGCCTTTATAAAACACTGTCCCTATCAGCTGTTTTCCCCCAGGGTATCCACTTGCATATCCTAAGTTTCTGGTTTCAGGAAGACATCTATGAACCATTTTCCTCCAAAATGTTTTTCTCCCAGGAGAACAATGCACACTTGGATGCTGCTTGAGTTGACTCCTCTCACATCATTTCTGAAATGTAGTCCTGGACTACCTTGGCGGAAGAACATGAACAGTGAAGACACTGCAAACTAGTACTTCCGGGTTTACGCCAGGAAGTGTACTGTGGTTGTCGCTATCCCCTGCCTCTGATAAGTTTCTTCCAGTAGAAGGCGTGGTCAGTTTTTCTCCTGGATCATCCCTTGCTACTGTGGGTGGGAAGGCTGATCAGTGGCTCTGTGGGGGACTCTTAACACCATCAAGGACATGCAGAGTTTCTTCAAGTGGCCCCTCTTCAACCCAGAAGTGTTGCACCTAATCTGGCCTCTTCGTACTTTCTGCCATATATGGCTAAAGGCCCTTGCACATTGTAGGTATTCAATTTGTTAACATGTTGGACCCAAATTATTGAGAACTGAGCTATTTTACATGAAGCCCAGATTTCAGATCATCAAAACCTGCCATTTATATGCCAAAATTCAAAACATTTTTTTATGAAATGTCTATGAAAACTGGGTCTAGGATGTAAGTGGGAGTTAGGGATACCCTGTAGTGTCCACCAACCCTGAAGCCGCCCGCCCAGACCCCACTTCCCACTCACCTTATGGATTTGGAGCTGCAAGCTGTTGAGGTAGGTGTTCCTGGGCAGAGGAAGTGGGAAGCCCTCCTCAAGCTTTGCTGGAAGATAAACGGCAGAGAGGTGGGCTGGGCAGAAAACACTGGGGAGGTGTGAAGACACAGAACATCACATTTGCAACTAGCCAATGACAAGGCAGCAGGTAGGCTATTGGATGCAGGGCTGTTTTTCTGAGGGGATGGAGCGGTAAGCACAGGCCAGCACTTGGAAATGCAGCCTCTTTAGGAGTGGACAGCCTCTTGGGCTTCTATTAGTCCTTTCAAGAGCCTTCCCTCAGTCACCACCCAAAGTGACCAGGGCTGGGCCACATGGTGTCTGTATATAGAGGTTCGTCCCCGAGGACCACCATCTCCCCGCCGTCTCTTTTACAGGTCAGTTTTGATGCTCTTATCTCTCAGTTGTACAAGGCAGATGGTGAGGCCAGTTGGAGAGGACCCTGTCCTGGGAGGAAGCCTGCTGGCTCTCAGGCAGCCACTGTCCCAAGTACTACTGCCATCTCTGTCACCCAGCAAGTCGGTGAGATAACCTGGCTCAGGACCCGGGCGTGTTAACTGCAGGTGTTCTCCATGTGCCCCCTGACATGCCCCTCCTCCCTGGGCCCAACTCCTTGTGCCGTGGGACTCAACTTAGCCCTCACCTCCTGGACTGACCTCTAAGTCATGTTCAGTGCCTCCTTCTAGCTCCCGCAGCCCCCTACACTTCCTCCTATTGCGGCATTTATCAGACTTAACATACGCCTTCCTAACAAAGCGTGAACTTCGCAAGGGGCCAGGATCAGGTTGCCAGTACCCCAGCCAGAACAGCAGGCAGGCTCAGCTTGTTGAATGAATGAACCATAAGTCGTACAGCGAGGGTAGAATTGCATGTGGCAGTCAGTAGCAGCTATTCTTACCATTGAGAGAGGGGTATATAATGTAGGTTGCATAGTAATTGAAGATAGATTCCATCAACTTCACCTGGAACAGAGGAGGGGCCAGAGCGAAACGATCAGACAAGACAGGAATGAAAACGAGTCCAAGGACATCTGCCCCCACCTCTGGAAACATAAACGTGTCATCCGATTTACAAAACAGAAGTTGCCCATCACCATCACTGATAAACAGCTCTTTGTTCACAATCCCCCCAAACCTCAAATCTCTGAACTTCGTTCTCCATAAGTGCGTGCGAGCTCATTTTAAGACAAAATGTGACCTGAAGTGTCATGGGGCTCTCCACTTCGCATGGATATTTTAAAATATTGTTGCAGAAATATTAACATGTTTAATTATAGAGGGCGGCCCCAGATCCTTCTGGAATTGTCTTATAACATGGCGCATTCTTCATATTACCTCAAAAATTCTCAGTTTTGCAGCTCATCAGGGATTGTGTCCCTGGACTCACTATTATTACAATAATGAACATATATTGAGAGCTTACTATGTGAGACATTTTGTCAAAGTGTCTTACTGAATTCATTGCCCCATTTTATATTACAGTCCCCATTTGAAGGAGATGCTAGTATTCCCATTTTACAGTCAAGGAAACTGAGGCTTAGAAAGGTTAAGCCTAAATCACACAGCTAGCAAGTGGCAGAACTGGTATAAGAGCCCAGATCCACCTCCGCAGCTCCTACTTTCGATGTCCCTGTCCTGTCGTCTCTTTAGCTCCCAGGCAGTACCCCTCTTGGATGATTAAGTTTCAGATGTGGTGTTTCATTTCCTGCAAGACTGCAGTACATTTCTATTTGGGACTTTGTCACTTCTGGAGCCCCAAGATGCCCTGCTTGGATGAGACATTTAAGAACTACTGAGAAAACAACTCACGTTCAAGACATCGATGTAGGAGTGTGTCAGCTCCAGTTTCAGCTTTCTGTGTGGGGGAGAGAGGCAGGCTCACCCCTGGCCATGGCTGGCACTTTTTCACACCCCCGTGGGGTGTGCAGCCTCTTCGGGCAAGGGCATTTCAGGGGCTAAGCACCAAGGGTTCCTCTGCAGTTTAAGATTTTAAGCATGCACTGTGACTTAAGAGGTGGCATTAAAAAAAAACAGTTATGTGAGCATTTTTGATAAGTCGGAAGAAATTATGGTGACACAAATATTAATGGGAGAAAGGGGAATATAAAAAGTAACAACCTGTATGTTTCCAGTCATATACAAATGTATAAAAAAAAGGACTGGAAGGAAACATGAAATTATTAAGAGTGATAGTCTGTATGGGGTAAGGTTAGGGCTGATTTTTGTTTGTTTATACTTTTGTAATTCTCTTTTTCTTTCCGTGAGCATGGATTATTTCTATAACGTGGGAACAGACAATGAAAATGGAAGAGAGCATTTCTAATGGTAATGGGAGGCAGCTGGTAGCCGCTGGGGTGACTTGGCACCTGGATCACTGTCACTATGAAAGCTGAACCCCAATTTCCCCCATTGATCCATCCCTCTCCTAACAATCTTTCCTTTGGCTCTGACCTGGTTCCCTGGCTCAGGAATTCTCATTACCCTGGACATATCTCTGCTTTCTGCTCATGGGGCAGAGTAATTTTAATAATTCCTTAGTAAATTTTTGGGTGAGACCCTCTGCTCACTTTGCTATCTCCGTCCTCATAGCCTAGCGTCCTCCCTGATACTGCAGAGACCCCTCAAGCCAGGTGTGTGCATAAGCTCAAACTCCGGGATCTCTCAAAGCCCCAAAGGCTCACCATTAGCCTGTTTAAAGGTGGCTTAAGGAGGTGTTTGTTTTAATGGTCGGCATTCTATCAGCCAGCAGGCATCCAACTCAGAGGCCAGGAATTCATTCCTCTGATGAACCCATTGCACCTGCACCTCAGCAGGGAGCAGCACGTAGAGTGGGTGAGCCATGGGGCACCGGTGAGGGCTGTGCACCCCGATCATTGCTAGCAGAAGTACCAGGGGGCTGTCCAAAGCCTGCACTCTCCGCTGACTCACTGGTTAAATACATAATTGCCTATGGGTTGGGTATCTGGGCAATGGAGCAGTAGCAGCGGCTGGGGGCACCTTTAATTCTCCATCCAAAATCTCCACTTTTTGATGTATAGTATTGACAGTTTTTCTGAATCTTATATGTAAAGTCCATGCGAACACCTCCAACTGGACTATCGTTCCTTAGTACCCTCTTTGCAGATGTATCGACTCCTTCCCTGGTGCCCAAGAAGGGGGAGTGAGGAGTCCATAGTGATAGGGGACCTGAAGGTACCTGACAACTTTTCTTGGCTTCTGGCTTTTCCCCTGAGGCATTGTTGATATGCCCTTTCAAGAGGGGCAAGGAATTAAAGAATGAGCCAACCCTAGTGGAGACCTCTGTTTGCCAGGGGCAGCTCCAGGCCTGTTGGTGAACCAGAGTCGATGCTCTGACCACTCACGCCACCCCTCCTCTCCCCCCCCCCCACAGCCTCTTACCTCGCTGGGGTCAGTGAGCCCCCGATCCTGTTGGAGCTCACATTGATGGTGGCGGAGATGTTGGTTCTCTAGAAAAAAAAGGACATCACCCAGATTCTCAGGCTAAGTAGGCATCCTGTTGGATCCCAGGCCAGGAGACAAGTCTCCAGAAATAGAAATCACAGCCAGAAATAGGAACCACAAGGCCAAACGCAGCTACTCAAGGATGAAGGACTGAGGATGCAGGATATTGGTGGTTCCACAGTTGACTCTTAAGAAGGCGAGCTGAGATTTCACAGGTTTCTATTGTCTTTCATTTTTAAAAAATTGTATTGATTGATTGATTTTAGAGAGAGACATTGATTTGTTTTTTTCTCTTATTTGTGCATTCACTGGCTGATTCTTGTATGTGCCCTGACTAGGAATCAAACCCGCAACCTTGGCATATCGGGATGATGTGCTAACCAACTGAGCTACCCGGTGAAGACAGAGGTCTCCATCTTAATGCAAGAATCAACAAGGGGGAATAAACCTAAATTAAAACTTTAGAGAATTCGCATTGGGAGACCATATGCCTATGAGCACTATTGAGCTTTGGAACAGACTACCAAGGGAAGTTCAGAGAGCTCCTAAACCCTTACCACATATGACTTGTCAATGTTTTCTTCCACTCTGTATGCTGTCTTCTCACTTTCTTGAATGATGGCATCCTTTGAAGCACAGAAGTTTTTATTCTGATGAACTCCAATTTACCTATTTTTCATTTTGTTGCTTGTGCATTTGAGTTGATCTGAGAAGGCTCTGCCTAACCCAAGATCATGAAATTTTACGACTGTATTTTTTCCTGAAAGTTTTATAATTTTAGCTTTCACACTGGGGTCTGTGATCCATTTGGAATTAATTTTTGTATATGGTTTAAAAGAGGGGTCTGGTTCCATTGTTTTGCATGTGGATTCACAGTTGACCCAGCACCATTTCTTGAAACTATTCTTCCACATTTAATTGTGTTGGTCCCTTTGTTGAAAAGCAATTGAGCATAAATATGGGGAATTAATTCTGGACTCTCAGTTCTATTCCATTGATCTACATATCTATCCTTGCACTGGTACCATACTATCTTGATTACTATAGTGTTATAGCATGTTCTGAAACAGGAAAGTATGAGTCATGCAACTTTAGTTTTCTTTTTCAAGAGTGCTTTTGGCTATTCTGGGTCCATTGAATTTATATATGAATTTTAGGATCAGTTTGTTATCTGGCCAGTTGGGCTTTTGATAGGGATTATGTTGAATCTGTAAATCAATTTGGAGAGTATTGCTATTTTGAGTTCTTTAAAATGTATACCTTCTTTAAAAAGGTAATTTAATGACTCTCATTTATAACAATTTAAATAAGGTTATGCTTTAAACAATTTTTTTTTTCAGGACACACATAGTAGTGAGAAAGCTAAAATCTTCAACTCAGCTGGAGTGAAAGACTTTTACAGTTTCTTGCAACTCTGATTAACTGCGCCCTTGGGAAGCCTGGCTGTTCAGACCAGAATTGCAAGGCTCACTTGTGCCTCCAGTGGAAATAAGTAGCCTCCAGCATCTATCAGCTGCATAGTCTCCCAGACTTTCAGTAGCGGGAGGGGCTTACCCCCATGCAAGCATGACCCTTTGCTGCCCCAGCCAGGGTCAGACTTACCGCCCTGAGTTGGAAGAGTGGCTTGCGGTCGGAGGAGTTGGGCGGGAGGGCAAGGGCCTGGATGTTTATCACTGGCACGAGGGTCACATTTCCAGGGGTGAACATGAGGAATGGAGCTGATTCAGGCAACACCTCAAGCTCTAGCTCCATATTAGGGTACAACCTGGCCAGCTAGAGAAAGAGGGCAGAGACTCAGGGAAGGGCAGGGGACAAACACAGGGACCCTGAGCTGTATTAGAAAAGGCTAGATGGATGGATTCCCAAGCTCCAAACCGCTAAGGGCCTGACACCAGCAGCAGCAATATCACAGAGTAGAGGGAATTGTATTTTCCAGAACTCCTTCCCAATAGACTGCTGTTATGGTTGGAAAGGACACTCTGATCAAGTGTCCAAGGTGGGTGAGACACCCACTGGGCATGCTCCAATAACAGTGATGGTCACCGTACTTCCTTCTAAGCTGGCCACCTTGTGTTGACAAGTATGCAAGTTTGGGGCGGAGCTGAATTGCCTGGTTCAAGAGAGGGGAGGCTGAGTGCTCTTCTTCACTCGGCTGCTGCCTCCTTCAGCTAAGCTCTGCATGGACATCAAGCAGATATCAATTATTAGCCTAGTCCCAAATTTCAGCCTGCCCAACATTCGTGCCCTGGAAAGGTCCTGAATATTTGTGCTGCCTGAGTGCTGTTGTCTCCCGTTGATCCAACAACTCCGTGGGGCAGGTGCTATTGTCGCCCCCATTTGACAAATGAGGAAACAGGTCCAACAAGATTGAGTTCTGAAGATAGAAAAGGGCAGACCGAGGATTCAAACACAGGCAATCTGAATCCAGATCCTCCATCTTTATGCCACAAGGAGTCAGAGAATGAAGGGAATTTTGTACAAAAAAAAACAACAACAACTTTTATTTTTACCCACTGTCCTAATAGGTAAGCTGTTTGTCTGGAGAAAGTCCATGCATAGCTCACATACAGTCCCCACATTCGGCCTAGGTCAAGGGGCTTGCCTTGTCTTCTGTGAGGCATGGGCAGAAGTCTTACCTGAGGGATCATGGCCCCTAACGATCTGGTGTGCAGGTGAATTGGGAAGTCCAGGGGAACCTGCAGCAGGCGAAGCAGGAAGCTGCTCGAGAAGCAGGACAGCATGGTGGTGAAAGGCGTGTCCTCTGAGGTCAGACAGCTTGGCTGCCACCATGCTTCAGCTGAGTGATTGCCAACGAACTGTGTTAGGTTCTGTATCTGTAACGCGGGGCGGGGGGGTGGGGCAGGGGGGTGGTGGTGAGAATAGCACTTGCTGTATATGGTGCGCAAGGATGAAACGAGATAGCATATGCATAAAGCACCAAGTGTGGTGTCTGGAACGTACTGAGTACTTAATAAATGTGTGTTATTGTTATTTATTATTGCTCAAAAGAGGGCTGATCGCCACCACAATCTGGGTTCAATGAGCTTCCGGATACGGCTCCTCCCTGGTGTCCTTCTCTACCCACCCCCTGACTTGCTTGGGGAACCCTGCCTACGCCTGTTCATAGCCCACCTTCCTTGATCTCTCTTCCTTCAAGACCCCCACTATTTACCTGGGCAGCTCCTATAGAGCCTATCATAATGTAGACCCTGGAGCTGCGCTGCTCAGACCTCCCTTCAGGGGGATCAGCGGGGAGGAGGGCAGCTGGCTGGCAGAATGTGAGTCGCTGCCTCACATTCAGGTCCCACATCATTTGTGCCACGCTGTCCCTGACAGCTCCCAGCCCCTGCTGAGCGTGGCTGGGGTGGTAGAGCTGGAGAATCTTGTCAGACCACTGCCAGGGTTTGAGGCGGTAGTGTAAGCAAGAGACTAAACAGGAAACAGTGTCCCTACCCCATCTTCCATTCTTCCCTGGGGCATGGTACCTTCGAGGGTCAGATATACCAGGGCAAATGGGGGGGGGGGGAGGGTCATCTTATCACCAAGGGAGCGCTGCGCAGAAAGACTCCTGCTGTTTTATGGCCCCGGGGGAAGAGGTGGAGGAGAAGGGGAAGGGCCAGGAGTAGACGCTGAGTACTGAGACTTTGAGTCCTCCAGAAAGGAGCCCCAACAGAGGCACCTGGACAGTGTCTCGGCTGAGGTTCCCCGTCTCTCCATTCATAAGGAGATCTCTGAATAGAGGCGTCTAGGCTATGAATGCCGTATGCCAGTCCGGGGTGGGGGAGGGGGTAAGGGCAGGGCTTGAGCCCTCGACTGCGGCTCTTTCTAGAGACTGATACACTGGCTCTGCTCCAGGTCTGGTCTGGCGAGAGTGCCTGGGAAAGCCTGCCACAGGACTGTGGCCTGGAGCGGACGCCTCACACTTGTGCCTGATGTGTGTGGCCCGCTTCTAAAAAGCAAGCTTCGCTCTCGCCCCCGTCAGCCTGGCTGAGATTTCTCAGAGCCACACAGCGGCATCTTCGCCCGATCGCCCCCTCCCTTCACAGGTGACAGTCCCGCCTCGCAGTCTGAGGGCTCTTCCACCTCCTGCTCCTTCTCTCCTTTGTCCTTCACGGGTGTTTCGCTAATAAAACTCCTGTACGTCTAATGCTGCCTCGGCATCTGCTGCTGGGAGGACCTGTGATGACACACCAGAGTCTGTCTGCTATTTTAAAGTATGGCTAACAGTAGCCGATACGCATTGTGTGTCTCACATCAAGCTCTGCACAATCTCTCGTAGAACCCCCGGGGTCCACGTGCACAGACAGGGAAACTGAGGCACAGCCTGGCTTTGAACTTGTGTTGGGCAGGGTCTAAATTCTACATTCTTCCCCTAGCTCCCTAGGGCCCCCACAGTGGGGCTACAGTCCTACCTGACGCTCTCCCCTGGTTACCCCAGCCTCCTGCACCCCTACTCACGTGCTTGTTTCAGACGGTGAAGTTCATGTGCCCAGCCCGGTGGTAAACCCAGCTGGCTGTGTTGAAGACATATTGGGAGACCGCAAAGTAGATCATGAGGTCATGCTCCTGGGGCAGCCCGACAGGCGGAACCCTAAAGGGGACTGGGGAGCGCCGGCTGAGGCTAAAGAATCTACCCTGGAGACAGAAGGACGCATCAGTCACCCAAGGTTCCTTCCAGAGAGGGTGTCGGGCAGAGGCATCCAAAGCCTGCCTGCCTGGGGGAGGCCTCCTTGCCTGAGGTGGTGGCCAGGGTGGCGGTTCCTCCCCGGAATGTGGGGTCAGGGGTCCTGAAAGGTTCCCTCTAGCCTCACCACATCTAGGTCCTGACAGCTGCTTGAAGTCCCTCTTTGGGTGGGGAGGCATGTCCTGTGTTCTCCCAGGCTCAGGACATAGGACAGGAAGGACAGTCGTGGTGAAGAGCAGGTACTCTGGTGCTTCACTGGACGGGTTCGAACCCTGGTCCACCCCCTTCTAGCGCTGCAACCTCAGGCAGGTCACCAGCTGCTTTGCGTCCCGCCCTCCCCGCCCCATCCCCCGAGGATAGGGATGATGCCAACACCTTCTACTTCACAGAGGTAGTGAGGAAGATAAAGAAGTTAATATTGAATAGCATCTGGGACATGGTAAGAAGCATGTGTTAGTTAAATAACCAAAATTGGAAGGGGGCGCTCCAGGGCCTGGTTCGGCCCACAGGGGAGCTGTGGAAGAGACAGGGATGCAGAGGGGACGTACCTAGTTTCCTATTGCTGTGGTGATGAAATTACCTCCAATTCGGTGGCTTAAAACAACACAGACTCATTCCCTTCCTTTTTGGAGGTTAGAAGCCAAAGCTCAGGCTGTTAAGGCTGGGCTCCTTCTAGAGGCTTCCAGGGTGAGTGGGTTTCCTTGCCTTTTCTGCCTTCTAGAGGCCCCTGCATCCTTTGGCCTGTGGCTCCCTCCCTCGCAGCACCTCTTGCTTCCTTCCAGCTTCGTATTTCCATTGCCACATTACCTTCTGTGCCTTACCTTCCACTTCCCTTTTATAAAGGTCCCCATGATTACAACAGGCCAGGATAATCTTGTCATCAATATCCTTCATTTAATCACACCTGCAAAATCCCTTTTGCCTTGTTCGGTAACATTTACAGATTATGAGAATTAGGGTTAGGGTTAGGATTAGGACGTGGACGTTTCAGAGAGCTACTCCTCAGTCTTCTATTGGCAGAAGCAGATAGTATTAACAACGCTACCCTATAGGTATGCTGTGTGCCAGGCACTTGCTAAGCACTTCATTCTCATTTCACTTAATTCTCATCTCACTTAATTCCTATAGCAACTTTATGAGGTAAGGTTATTATTATTCCAATTTAATAGAGGCTCAGAGAGGTTAAATAATTCCTCCAAGTTTCCCCACAACATAGAAGATACAGCCAGGGTTCAAGGTCAGGTCTTTTGGACTCTACACAGGTTTACCCTGTTAGTTCAGAGACCTTGTTTTAGGTTTTGCTCTGCAGTGCTGAGTACCGCGTCTGCCCACTGTGGACCGCGGTCTGGGAGGTGGACGGGTGGGCAGATGAAGTGGAGGGGGAGGGCAGGAGCTGACCCTGGGAGGCGGAGTTGGTTCCCTGCCAGTCCGCAGCTCCAAGGCCCTTTTCCCACAGCCCCTTACCTTGAAGGGCGTGTCCAGGCCCTGGGAGGTCACCTGGGGAGCTCCCACTAAACGGTAGTCAATGCCAGCGACCTGGTCAATCCTCAAGGTGACTGTGGAATGGGAAAGAGGCAGCCCTGTGAACAGGGTAGCTAAACACAGTTGCGCAAGTTGCACACTGCGCAACTCCAGGGAGTTCCTTTGCCACAGACTGTAGCCTTTGGAGCATGGAAATGGGCTGGGGCACATCCATGGTACCTCCAGGCACTGAGAGAGTACTTCACTCACTCATTCACTCATTCATTCATTCAGTATTTATTGAGCATCTGCTATATGCCAGGCACAATGCAAAGGGCTGATGAAACAGCTGAGTGAGACAGTCTCAGTTCCTATCCTCATGGAACTCACAAGTCCAGAAGAGGAAATAATCAGATACTCAAGGAAATAAATATACCATTACAAGTATATGAGATGTCAGGTAGCAGAAGTCCACAGGATGATACCAGCCATAGAATAGGGAGTAAAGTGGGGAGGGGGGCGGGGGCAACCTGGCTTGGACTGGGAGTCAGGGAAGGCTTCCCAGAAGAGGCGTTGCCTTGGCTGAGGTCTGAAGGAAAAGCAGGTGTTGACTGGGTGAAGGGGGATCAATATGGGGGAAGGACACTGGCAGAGGGAGTGACGTGTGCAAAGATCTTGCAATGTTACAGGACACTGTATATTAGAGGGACTGAAAGGGACGGGAGTGGCTGGCTGAGTTGGGGAGGGGAGCAAGGTAAAGCTGGAGCCGGGGGTGTGGCCGGGCCAGGCCACGCAAGGCCTTGTCTCCCGCAGCTGGGCTCAGCATTCTGAGAGTCAGAGGAGTCTTTCCTAGATTTCAAGAAGAGAGGGAGACCTGGCTTGCTGTGTGATTGTAAAAGGTCCCTGTGGCAGCCAGCGGTGCAGGGCTAGGGGGTCCCTCAGCCCTGCACAAGGAACGCAGAGCACCCCTGTTTTGTACAAGCAGCCAGTACAGGGCCAACATGTGATTCTCGCACGTATTCCTAATTTTCTGCCCACCTTACGCTCCTAGCAGGTTTCTGAGTCACCGCCCTCAATCACCTTAGAGAACAGAACCCACCTCCCCCAACAACGATGGTTGCCCCATATCTAATTCCGTAGGATGGAGAGATAGTCAACGGCGAAAATTCTCCCAGGGCTCTTGAGGGGGTGGTGCTCCCAGAGGTACTGAACCCAGAGAAGTGGGGGGTGGCTCCCAACCTGGCAGGGTCCGGAGATAGGGCTCCAGGTGTGAGGTTGTTGACTGCCTGACCATTTCGCAGATCTGCCGAAAGTGGGAGAGGAAGCGAGGTGAGTTCGTCCCCCCACACCCTCACCCCCCGCCCCCGCCCCACCACACCAGGGACTATGCATTATATCCCCACCTTGGGTAAGCATGCGAGGGCAGGGAGAGTATGGTGCAGAGGGAGAAGAGGCCACTACCCCCATCAACATTTGGTCATTGTCCCATTTGGCCTGGCTTCTCACACAGGTGGGCTCAATTTAAGTTCCTAGACTTTTCTGGAACCCACATTAAAAGTGGGTGGTGGTCAAGTCAGCTTTGTCCTAGGGTCTGCTAATTGTCACGGTCCTCGGGGCTAAGTGGCAAGAAATGCAGTATATAAATGCTTATATCAGAGAGCAGAGGGAAAAAGTAGTAGAGCTTCTAGGTGCAAGAGACAGCTCTTGAGTCAGAGGCTCCACCACCCCATTCCCCAGTCCCTCGGCTTCCTTCTCTTGCTGAGGTTTCTGGCCATCAGAGAATTGGCAAAGAAGCGTGATACCTGGTCTGTAGGCAGTAGTACTAACTATGGCCACCAGAGGGCTCCAAAGCAAAGCCAAAAGGCGGGTCGACCAAAGGACTCCTTTGTAAACCAAGAATTACAGCTTGGAAGATGCCAGACTCTTAGTCTTGCGGTTTCCTAACTTCAGCTATTCCAACACCATCTCTGATGTTCCAGGGGATGCGTCAACTTGCCCAAAGATACACAAAGCGTAAATATAAGAGATAGCTCTTTGCCTCCAAGACCAAGGCTTTTTCCAGTGTTGGGAGATTCTGAGGGCCAACCTCAGTACTGTTATCAATATGATGCATTTTTGAAGGGGGCGGGTCTAATTTAAGAAACATTTTCCTGCCCATAAGATGAGAAATAATTTGTAGATTTTCTCCTAAAAACCTGTAGATTCGTTTTGGCATTTAAGCCTTAGACCACTAGGAGCTGATTTTGGTGTGTAGTGTGAGGGAAGGATCCAAAGTCACTTCCCCACATCTCTCTAACATTATCTACACCTAGATATCAAACACTTTGCCAGTTTCAAATGCCAATGTAGCATATGTGACCACACAAACTGGGGAAAGCCTGGAGCTTTGCCTTCACGCAACACATGAGGAAGGTTTTGCTAAGCAATTCAAATGGCAGCCTATGCAAGAGACAAGACTGTTTCCAAATATCAAATATGCACCTGCCAATGATTCTTAACTGCAAATCTGCTTATACTTTGTTTACCTTTTGTTTCAAGATATTTTTTAGAGTATTTTCAATTCTTTCACGGAAGAGTTTCAGGAGCCCGCTGGAGAAAAGAAGAAAGAGGGTCAGGATCCACTTTGTGATTAATTGAGACTCCCGAGAAGAAGGCTACCCGTGGATTTGACCTTTCCCTTGTCATCCCAAGAAGGGGCACAGCCAGGTGAATTTAATCCAAGGGTATCCCTTGGGTATGGACATACCTTTGCCTTTCAGGTTCGCAAAAAGCTAAATCTTCGATAATATGCTGCATTGGCAATAGTGGGAGGAAATAGACACTTTTATACCTCGCTGGTGGGAGTGGAAACTAGCAAACCCCTGGGAGGGTGATTTGCTAGTATATGTTAAAATGACAAAATGCACATACCATTTTAGGAATGTATCTTATAGTTTATTTCAGAATGATATTATGGACAGTTACTTTTGTAGCATTGTTTGTAATAGGGAAAGACTGAAAAAAAAACCCCTCAAACTAAAAAAATAGTCCATCAATAAAAGACTAATTATTACATTTTAGTGTCTTCATAAAATGGAGTGTTCTGAAAATGAAGCTCTTGTGTTCAGGTGTGGAAAAACTTGCAAAGGCATTGCTAAGTAAGATAAGCTAGGGATATAATGCTCTATATAGCATGCTACCATTTCTGTTAAAATAAAAGAGCAAAATACCTAACTGTTCAGGTGTAAACTCTCAGGAATGAGACATTAGACACTGTTAATATAGGTTGCTCTGGCAAGGAGAGCTGGTTGGTGAGGTAACCAGAGTGACGAAATATTTTTTTCATTCTGTAGCCTTTGCACTTTTTGAATTTGGAACTATGCAAATGAATCGCCTACTCAAAAACATTGACATTTTTTAAGTTATAATAAGGAGAGTAAGACCTATTCTTTGTACCTTGCAATATCCACCAAACATCTTACCTGGCTGTTTAGCTATTAGTCATTCACTCACTCATTCATTCAACAAACATGTACTGAGCCCCTCTTACCTGCTAAGCTCGAGCTAGGTGTTGAAGGACATTGCTGAATAACCTCATGGAGTTCAGGCGGGGAGTCTAACCTACTTCCGGTAAAGCTGCCCACTGAGAGACCCTCCCAACCATAGACACCACTCTGAGAGTTGTGGCCCAGAACAGAGCTTCTCGCACTATGTTCTCACCTCAAGGTGAGGGTTGGAGGTTGTGGGAAAGAAGTGAACTCTGTTAACGGAATTACTTCTGGTAAAATTTTTTTCTCCCATAAAGTGTTCTTTACCATTCAACGGTTGCTGATGGAATGATTAGTGGTAAGTTTTAGAAACATTTGTGTATTATAAAGCAATGTGGTAACATCAGGCACAAGTGCTTCCTGGGGTTCTACAGAAAGCATCCAGGGGGTTGACCTATGCAGATTCTTCTCTCAAGCCTTCTTGCTCTCTGGCTTCTGGTTGTTTTGGCCAATGAGAGGCACAGGTAGGGAGGAGAGGGGAGGGAGGTATTTACACCCTGATCCTCCCTGCCCACTGTACCACTATACTCCTGTTCCAAGGCACTTGTCCAAGGTTCCAGCTCTTTCTAGGCTCTGGCAACACCCTTCCCTTCCCTCTCACCTTCAACCCTAGGAGTGATAATAGCTCCCTGCTGTTGCTAGTCTCCATGAATATTCTCTTCATTAGATTCTTGTCACTTAAGCCTTTTGAATTTCCTCTGTTTCCTGCCAGGATCTGAGTGATGCAGTACCAACCAAGACAGTTGCCCAGGAGACTGCCATCATTCATTTGAAATTCACTGAGCATTTGCTTCAGGCAAGTCACTTTGGGATACTGGATTGCCATTAAAAGCAGTCTTGCCCAGGGGTGAGCAAACTTTCTCTTAAAGGGCCACATAGTAAATATTTTTGCTATTGCATGCTATGTGGTCTCTGTTGCAACTTCTCAGCTCTGCTGATGTAGTGCTAAAACAGCCATAGACAATTGTAAACAAATGAGTGTGACTGTGTTCCAACGGAACTTTATTTACGAAAACAGGTGGCCTACTGGACTGGGCCCAGAGGCTTTCGTTTGCTGACCTCTGATCTTGATGAAGCCTAAATCTGGCTCTTCTGGCCCATCAGGGACATCCCCTAGGTGAGCTGGAGGCTGGGGCAGTTCTGACAACTTCCAGCAAGTGTACGGGGTGAGTTACCTTAGGCTTCCGGAAATGTCAATGCTGACGAGGCCGACAGAGTTGCTGCAGTAGGCCACAGAGGCAGTAGGTCGTCCAGACGGGTCTTTGCCCAAGTTCAGAGAAATTGAGATGGAAACGCCATCCACACTCAAATCAAAAGTACCCTGTAAGGTGCTGGTTGGGAGAAATGAGAACCACATGGTGAATAATCAGTCACCTCCAGAAGGAGGAGCCAGAAGACCACAGACCCAGGCTAATCTCCCTGTGCCTCACTAATGAGCTGTATATCCTGTCTGCGCCATGGTAACCTCAAGACAAAAAGGGCTTTCAAGGTGAGAGGCAACAAGCGTTTATTTGAGATCCATAGCCATAGCTCTTCAGGAAACATTCATAATGCAAAAGCCCAAGTGATGTTTCAATTAGGAGACAAAAGCAATGGGTATTTATGAGAAAGGGAAGGGGAACAATTACATAAATAGAAGGATGGCATTTCTAGTAGTGAAGATATAACATAGTGATCTTAATTCTAAATAATGTTTTTAGTTTTCAGTCTAGGAGTCATCAGTCCAGTAGTCGTAATATCTGCTCTGTTGTTATGTTTGCAAACAGTTCTTTGGGGCACAAGGTTGCTTCAGGCCCAGTGCGAAGGTTATTTTGCCCAGTTTTAACATTGCAAAGGTTTGAGACATAGGACATGTTAGGCGGTTTCTCTGCCATGGCAGCTCTGACTCTATTTTCAAGTGGCTCCATTTATATTATTTTGACAGCTTCAACTTATCCTGATCTAAGAGAGCTAGTGTTTATGAGTATCTTCTATGTGCCAAGCACACTGAAAACACCTTAAATCTATTTTTTAATGCAATCCACAACTGCATTTGAGATAGATCTGGGTCCTTTATAGACTGGACATTTAAGAATGCAGAAATGGAAGTCCAGGGTGGGAAGACACGCCTTTGCCTAGAGCTGAGAGACATTCTAACCCAATTACTTACATGAAACCCTTTTTCACCTTCCAGTTCCCGTGGACAGACACGTAGCTGTTGGACAGGGAGGCCGTGATACCTTGCCCTGGGCACAGACTCAGATTGGAGTCCCTGAGTTCAAAATTACGGATTCTCAGGCTAGGGAAGGAAGGCAGACTATTAAACTCAGAAAACGAGTATCACATCAGTCCTCTGAATGAGTCTCCAGAGTTCCCTCCAGCTTTTCACACTCTCAGATTTGTTGACTTAAACCACAAAGGACAAACCACAAAGGAAGCCTTCCCCAACCTTCAAGACCAAAGACCTTCCTATCGTCCATGACACCTCCCCCGATCAGCTGCTCTTGTCCATCTCGCTCACTTGACCCTCACCACTGACCCTCAGCACCGCGGAGACGCTGTGAGCCACAGATGGCACCTGGGCTCCCCTGTGAGGCAGCTTCCCCTCTCTGCTCCCCACGCTTCAAATATAGATCAGGGCTCACAGGTGAGATCTGAGATCACCGGCTTGGTGTTCTGTGGGCCATGCATATGATTGAAATGCTACAGACAGGCTTTTCCTGTTTTTGTAGTATTTTTAAAACTGGAATCGGTCACCAACATTTTAAAATGAGGAAATTTCATTGTAAATATATGAAGGAGAAGAAAGACTAGAATTCTGGCTTCTCTTGAAAAAGTCAAAAGACAATGCTCATGTTTCTTTACAGCATCAATCAACTAAAGTGAGTAGCCGCCGCCCCCTTTAATTGGAAGAGATGCCCTCCAGGTAAACATTGCACTGGTCATTTGCCTATTTGGTGTCAGGCTCATTCCCTTTCCTTCTCTTGCTCTGACCTGACCTATGTTGGATGGGACTGACCACTGGAAACTACATTTCCCAGGATCCTTTGCAACTGGCTTCTAGTTAGGCATGGCCAGTGGGAAGCACTGTGGGGAGATGAGTGGATAGGAAAAGGGGAGAGAGGCCAGGGTATTTCTTCTCTTTCTCTCTCTGCCTAGAATTTGCCTTTGGTGGTGGTTACATTTGCACATTGGGCCATCTCCTGCCAGAGGTGGTCTTGGCTCCTACTTTGAGGTCCTGGCTCCTGTGCTCTGTTAATACCTTCCTCCTTGTTTTTTATCTCTCCCGCTCTAGGGATGTTAATGACTTCTTGTTGTTAATTTCTGGGTTGCTCCACCATTCCCTAATTGGTATTCCAGCTTACCCAGCACCTTTGGATAAAATTCCCTATATTAAATTCCCTCCATGGAAGTTCCTGGCGTGGTTTCTGCTTTCCCAGCTGGTCCCTGAAGGATATAGCCATGCCGCCTGGTACAAGCATCTACAGTACCTCCTCCCCTGTGGCCATTTGAATTTTATGACTCTTATCAGATCGACACGTATGTCCCTCTGTAACATTCATTGAGATCCTGCTCTCTCTGACCTGGCTTCAGGCAACGAGGCTACAGAGACTCAAAACTCAGTCCCTGCCCTTGAAAAGCTCACAGTTGGTGGCAGATTTGGATGCTGACCAACCCCAGTAATCTCCTGTGAAAGCCAGATGTAAGAGGTGGTTTAGGGCTATGAGAAGAGGCATTGCCCTCTAAGTAATATGGCCTGGAGAGTGAGTGTGTGTGTGTGTGCGCGCGTGTGTGTGTGTGCGCACAAATTTAAAATCACTCCTCTTTGCCCACTGTATTCAGGACATTGTCTCCAGAGACTTGGGGAGGATTCCAAGAGGCAGCCTTTTCTATCAGTGATCCCCAAGGACTCATTTGGGGCACTGAGGAGGCTGGGGGAGAAGAACCCATGCAACCAAGGAATGGATAAAAAAGAGTAAGGAGTGAGGAATCTGAGGCTGAATACGTGAAAGGTGGAGGCAGACTAAGGTCATTTAAGTCTTTTGGGGAGGGATGTGGGAGCCAGGACTCATTCAGTAGCAGTAGGGCCACTACCACACAGCTTGGTCTGGCCACGACCTGGTCCTCAGCTCCTTCCTGGGCAGAGCAGCCCCCTGCTCTGTTTCTCACTGGGGATGTGTATGGATGCTTTCCTCAAGAGATAGCATGCAAATAAAATGTAAATGGGTTCCAGAAAGACTCTAAGTCCTCGATTACAGACCTCTAATACGCTCTGGAGGGATGAATGGTATGCTTCAAGCAGGTCCCTAGTCTGGGCAATCAGGAGAGTGCCAGGGATTCCAGGTAGGGCAAGGATCCAGAGTCACTCTCCAGAGAAGTGACCTAGAGGCTGGTGAATGGTGTCCAATGAAAAACATAGCGCTTTTCAGAGGCCCCACAAGAACTGGCTATGGCGCCTTTGCTTTTAGTCAAAGTGATGATGCCACATTTGTCTCCCTCCCCCGTGACCTTAGATCCCCGTTCTTCCTCTTCCACTGCCCCTGTGGTGAAGAATGGAGACCTCACCTCCTGATCTCATAGCTCACACTTCCCATCCAACTGGCCTTGAAGCTTCCTGAGAAAAATCGATGGTGGACAGCTCCTTCTTCAGGGTGGCCATTCTATACTGGCGGGCTGTGGGCAAATAGAGGGAGTGAGCTCACTCAGTTGGAGGCATAACTGTTGAGTGGCCAGGCTTTGGAATCACAACAACTGAGATTGAATGCAAGATTCGCCACTTACTATTGGTATAATGCCAAGAAAGTCCCTTAAATTCCCTGAGCCTCAGTTCCCCCACATGTAAATGGTAATAATACTAATACTGATACTAATACTAATACTAATACTAATACCAACTTGAGCCTGAGAATGAAATTAGAGCATGAACTCAAAGTGCCAGGTAAGTGGCAATCATTGCTATTTATCATTCAGCCAGATTGTGGAAGCAATGATAGGACTTCCGAGGAACCATTTCCTGCAGTGTGGTCAAACCTTAGGGGTTTTGGAATGTGTAAACAGACCACAGTAACCTACTATTGCTTGGGCCACATGCCAGAAATGCAGAGTCCCAGGCCTGATTCAGTCAGCCTTGGGTGGATCTCTAGAATCGTGTCCCAGCAATTCTCATGTGGGTGGTCCACAGACCACCCTGGGAAAAAACGCTGATCTAGTCCTACACTTAACCTCTGGAAATTCAAGCTGAGGGAACTGAAGCCCAGAGGGTGACATACCCAGGGCTCCCAAGCCAGGCAGCGGCACCACCTAAGCCTGTGATTTTGTTTTATTCTGCCTACACCACTGTGGTAGGCAATAATGGGCCCAGAGAGGTGGCCAAACCCACTTACCATATTCCAGGCCTTTTCCGGTGATCCTGGCCACAAACCCAGCTTTAGGAGCCCTTTTGCCAAGACTGGAGACCTCTGCCAGCAGCAGCAGGGCCACTACCACACAGTATGGTCTGGCCATCGTCTTGTCCTCAGCTCCTTCCTGGGCAGAGGTCGGTCAGGGTCTCTTTGTAGCAGCCTCCCTTACTGAAGGTGACAACGGAGGCTGAGGTGCTTATAAAGCCAGGGGCCAGATGAGGAGCTGAGGCAGCTGGGAATGACAGCGGGGAAGGCTCAAGGCTTTGGGGCAGCCCAAGTTTCAGTAACTTGAGATGAGAAGAGGTTGTTTATGAAATCATTTGTGGTTTATTTGTGGCCCAAAAGTAGCTGAAATAGTGCTATAGTTTCTAGCTTCTTTCTCTTCCAAGCACTGCTTGGAGCCAAAGGAGCCTCCTACCACACCTCTCTCTAGCTGGACACCTTCCATCCATTCCCCATTACCTACAGACTGAAACCTAGACCCGCAGCCTAGCCGTGAAGGCCACCACAACGTGGCTGTGATGCCCCTCTCCAACCGGACCCTCCCCTGCCCTGGTCTGCCAAGCCATCCCTCTGGCTCTGTTGGATGGAATCCTCTCTTCTCCACTTATGTCAAGCAAGAACATCTCCATTCAGTCTGCAAATACAACAAATGGATTTTGCAACTCTAGGCTCCAGAAACTTTTGGATTTTCTCTTGCCTACATTGTTTTTTAATCAACTTTATTAAAGTTGTACTCAATAAACTTTGTATATACTTTGTACTCAATAAAATGCACACATGTTCAATGAGTCTTCACCCACGTCTACATCCATGTAACTGCATCATAAGCAAGACAAAAACCATTTCTATCACCCCAAGAAGTAAGTTCTGTCATGCCTCTTCCCAATCTCCTTCCCACCTCTTACATTAGAAAACCACAGATTGCCGTCTGTTACCATTGATTCATTTTGCCCATTCTAGAACTTGATATAAATGGAACCATCTAGGATGCATGCTCTTCTGACTGGCTTCTTTCATGCAGCATCAAATTTTTAGTAAATCCATTTGATGTGTGTATCAACCATCCATTCCTTTTAATTGCAGAGTAGTACTCCACACAGTGGTGAGAACAATGTTTTTATTGTATTGTATTTTATATTTTCTTCAAATAGGAAATACATTCGTGGCTCAAAAACCAATCAATCATAGTTAGATGTGAAAAATCTCATGCTCACCCCTCTTTTGCATCTTCCCAGTTCCTATCTCCCCTTCATCAAATCAACGTAAAATTCCACAGTGATAAGTGTTGGGAGGCATGAAAGGTACCTGGAGAGTTTATATTCTAGAGCTTATGGGAACACAGAAAGGGAGCAATGAAGACAGTAGAGGTGCTCGAGTTTGGTTTTGGAGTACGTGTAGGAGTTGGGCAACTGAAAGAGGGAAGTTATCCTGGGCAGAGAGACTAGCATGAGCCAAGGTCTGGAAGCCTGGGAGAGCACTGCTCATTCGAGAAGGCACAAAGAAATGTGGGAGAGTCAAGGGGGAGGGGTGCGGAGGGAGGACAGGTGGTGGAAGAAGAGGAGGCACAAACATGGGCAGGGCTCTCATCTTGAAAGGCCTTATTCAGTCCTTGAACTACACACATGGAATAGTTTTCATTTTCCAGTAACTGATCCTCCTTATGCTGTCTTCAATTCTCCTCCTTCCTGAATAGGGGGTTCCCTCCACGGTGTCTCAGTCCTGATTCCATCACTGTCCAGCCATGTTTGTTTTAACTTAAGATTTGGTCCTGTCCACGTAAAATCTCAATCTCGTATGCTTACTGTTTTCCCTCTACCCCTGCCTGTCTGTGTGGGCTTCCATTGCTTTCATAGCTTGGAGCAAGAAAGCACATATGTTCATACATGTGCCTGCATGTATGCATGTTCATGTGCATGTGTGTATGGGGGGTGGTCTTCTCTCTCACATACCCCTCCCTCTTCCCTGCTCTGTTCCGGTACCACCTATGTGGGGAGTTGGTATCCTCTGTATCGACCTCAGTGGGGGTGAGGTGGCCCTTGAGGAGGGTCATCACCAGTCACCAACCTTGATGTCTGTCAGCGCAGGGTGGGTCAGCAGAGCCCCCATCAATTTCAAGCAGCTCTTGGCAAAGATCAGTCCTTGGGAGAATCGTCTTCTGCCCGCAACCCCTGATTTCGCGTCCTCAACCCGGGGCCCATGGCCAGAATTGAGTCCAGCTTTCCATCCCTTTGGAGAATGGCACCTCAGGAGGTGGTCCCTGCCCCTCGTTCATCTGCCTGTTGCACATGGCATCCCTCGCCGACGTTCTCTTCCCCTGCTCTGGGCCACTCGGGGGGCTCAGCAAGCCCGGGCCCAGCTGTTGACCAATTAGGAAATGAGATATCAGCTTGCTCGATGCAGAGCCCCTACATTGTTAGGAGCGGTTCTCTTGGGGGGCCCTTCTGCCTTGATTTTATTTAAGGGAACCAACCAGTAGAGAATAGCATTGGGAAGGGATACCTGACGGTCTTTCTTTACAATGTCCAGGAAATGATTTAATCAGGAGGGTGGTAAGGAGGCTGGCAGAAGTTGGGAGATGGAGCAGATCTACGTTAAGGAAGCCCCCATACATTAACATCTGACCCCAGAAAGATGTAGGGGGAACACGCTGCCTGTATTCATGTGCTAGGGCTGCCGTAACAGGGTACCGCAAGCAGGGTGGCTTCAACGACAGAAATTTATTTTCTCACACTTGTGGAGGGTAGACGTCTGAGGTGGAGGAGTGGGAGGCATTGGCTCCTTCTCGGGGCTGCGACTGAGGATCTGCGGCGGTCCGCCCTCTCCTCGCACCTCCGGCGGTTCGCTGGTGATCCCCGGTATTCCCTGGTTTGTAAACGCATCGCCCCGAGTTCTGCCTTCATCCGCACACGTCGTTCTCCCAGTGTGTGCGTCTGTCTCCAACTGTCTCCTTTCATAAGGACATCGGTTGTATTGAATTAGAGGCCCACCCTAATGACCCATCTTAACTACTCATATTTGCAGTGACCCTATTTCCAAACAAGGTCACATTCTCTTAGGAATGAGGATGGCAGTTAAAATCACGGTGATGCTGCAATTTGAGGCGGGGTCCTGTATGGCTGTTTCTTCATGAGCCTGTATCTTATCCCCAAATGCAAATGATACTATCAACTTTGAGGGTTCTTATGAGGGTTAAATAAGGTGACAGTTGGAAAATCATTGAGTGCTGATCCCGGGCAGTGAGGTCATCCACGCTTGGACTGTCCCCTGAGCTGGCTTTCTGAGATATCAGATTTTACTAGAAACTGAAATCAGCAGTAGAGAAAAACTCCTCATTGCAGCTTTCACTTCTTCTTTGGCTGAAACTTGAGGTCAGGGACAGGAAATTGGAAGCTCATACTTCTGAACTCAAGAGCTCTGGGATTCAAGCTATTTTTGCAAGACCAGTGGGCCCTCCAGGCATCTTGAACACATCTGATTTGATGTTCCCTGGGATTGCTCCCCCTCCAACTGCCCTTCACCCACATTCCTCCCCTCCCACGGAGAGGGAGCTCACTCCAGCCTGTGAACACACAGCCTTGGCATTTTTGCTTCTCTCCCCAGGTGGGACCACTTGACCTCTGTCTTGGGCCCACCCCCGGTCTATATAGATTTTAATCTGCAGCAGGAACACTGTGCCTGTCGCTGGTTCATTGTTCAAGCTCAATGCCATTTATCTGTTCCTTCCAGGACCGGGCTGAAGGTCTAGCTTACTTGATTAAAAAATATCTTCATAGGCATGTCAGTACATGATAAAAATGGTACAAATGACACAAAAGGGTGGCAATAACACCCTTGCTTCCACCCCTGGACCCAGTCCTCCAACTTCCTTCACCAGAGACAGTGTATTTCTCATGATTCCAGAAGCACTTGGTAACCAAAGTACCTGGTGACCACAAAATCACACCAGGTAACTAACACAAGTTCTTCCACCTTTGCTTTTTGCACTGAACGTTAGAATTTGGACATAGTTTTAGGGCAAAGAGAAAAAAAAATAGATAGAGGGGACATTTAGAAACTGAAGAGGCTTAAGAGAGCTTGTCTGGACCCTGATACAAACCAACTGAGTCGGCAAAAACATTTATGAGACAATCAGGGAAACCCAAACATTGGTTGGATATTTTGATGATATCGATGAATGAGTATTAAATTTTAAGGTATGACAATGGTATTGTGGTTATGTAAACAATTCTTACTTTTTAGATATCTGTGCTGAATTACTTATGGATGAGTGGTCAGGATCTTCTTTAAAATTACCCAGTGGCAGCGGGTGGGGAGGAGACAGGCGTGAGATGAAATGAGAGTGGCAATAGTTACTTGCTGAAGTTAGGTGATATTTGCATCCATGGGAGTTTATTATAAAATTCTCTCTCCTCTAATATGTCTTGAAAATTTTCATAAGAAAAAAATAGTCTTAAATGTTTCCCGCTGCTCAATGTGTGGGTAGGAGTTTGTGTAAGTCAGTGTCCCAACAGGAAACAGGAGACACATTTAAGTTGGGACAATTAAAGGAGGGTTTATTTACAAAGGGGCTGTCTTCAAAGGCCCGGGATAGGTATGAAGGAACCACAGGAACCTGGAGTTAGAGACAGCTGAACTGTTCTATCCGCAGAGAAGCCATCCCTGGACTGGAAGAAGTCAGTTTGGTGGAAGCCTTCTGTAGAGAATACCCCTCACTCCCATCTCTGGTCAGAGGGTAAGGAGCCCATTGATGGTCAATTGTTGCCTTTGTTGCCATTTTATTGTAGGGGCAAATAGGAAAATAATGACTCACTATCTCTTTCTTGTCCTTTTCTAAACTCATGGTAATCACCCCCACCACTTTAACAAGGCTGTTCTCGTTGAGGTTACCTACAAACTCCACCACCCCAAATCCAACGGCCAATCCTCATCTTGGTCCGTCTCAGCAGCACTCGACACAGTTGACCCGTTCCTCCTTGAAACGTTTTCCTCATCTGGCTTCTGGGACAATCCCTTCTCCTGGGTTCCCTCCTACCTCATTTGCTATTTCTTCTCTGGATCCATTGCTCACACCTGCTTCTCTTCCCAGCCTCTAGATGTTGA